TTAATTAACAACTTCCATTCAAGAATAGTCTTAACCTTATCGGAATCCATCTCGATACCACTAGGAGTAATAATCAGGCTGAGATACTTCGTTCTCCTCGTTTCGAATTTGTATTTGTTAATATCAATTTGTAATCCAGTGTCAATAAATCTCTAAACGATTTCGCGAACTTACTTTCGATAATCTGTAATATTCTCAAAATAAATCAAGATATTGTCTAGATACACTATACAATTCTTATCCAGGAGATCAAAAAGAATATGATTGATATAGTTCTGAAACGAGACAGGAGCATTGCAAAGGCCGAAAAGCATCACCAAGGATTCGAATAAGCCGAAACAAATTGTAAAAACAGTCTTCTATTTGTGACCTTCCGCGATCTGTAATTTATTGAATACAGTGATGATATCCAATTTGATATAAACTTTAGTATAGTATAAAGCATCGAGGGTTTCTTTGATTAGTGGCAATGGATAACGGTTCTTAATAATAATATTGTTCAGTTCACGGTAGTCCTAGCAAATTCGAATGCCTCCCCCAGGTTTTGCAGCTAGAAGGAGTAAGGCGGCCGATTGGGAGCGGGATTTGCGAATGAATTTTTTATTTAGGTTATTATCGAGCTATTTGCAAACGACTTGGAGTTCGGCTGGGGATATTGGGTAATCTTTGTTGTATAGAGGCTTTTTGCTTAACATAATCTCGATCTTGTAATCCTAAAAATATTGTGATAGGAGCTTGTTGGTAAGAGAGGGTAAAAACCTAGCAAATAGATTGCAAAGCTAGAATAGTAGTTTACTCTGAATCTCTGTTATAAATAATACAGGTCGATCAGTTTTTTCCATGAACTTCTTGATATTACTTTCTATAATACTGTAATATAATTGAATAGGATCATTTGTTATTATACAATATAACTCACAAGCTCTATTTAATTCATCCCAGATTACTTTTGTAATATAAGCTTCCTGATCTTTACAGAATTGAACAAAGCTATTAGCTGTAAGAAACTTTATATCATTTATTTTCTATCAGATATTTTGTAAAGTGTTAGTTGGTTCCTCAAAGAGCTTCTGTAGCGATAGGGGGTTCAATGGGGATAAAACGTTTTGGTTTCGTAGTGGTCTTTTGTGTATTCTAGAGCCTGCGATAATCCGCGTTGGGGCTGGTTTCAGGATTGGCCGATTTGATATTATCTTGATGCGGGTCTTTGTTTTTCTATTGATTCGGTGAGTGTAGCGATGGTTTGAGTTGGGTGGTATTAAATCAGCAGGATTTATGTTGTAGAGGTTTTTATCAGTATTCTTCTTTATAACTGGAGTTAGAGGATTGTATTCCAAAAGTATTAATTAGTTTTAAAATGAGAAGGAGGGAGTCTGGAGACTTTCATCAATGACTTTTTCAGCAAAGGTATAATATAGAGTTGAAGTAGATTTTTTCGAAGTAGATTTCAAAATAGACTTCCTAATGGGTGTATGTAGTATTGGATTGAGTGCTGTGTCTGTTGGGGTCAGTATATTGTTACAATCAGGAACAACAGTTGCAGTAAAGTTAATTGGATAGCAATATCTGGAGCAGTATGTGAACATGAACTTAAGAGTCATTATTATCTAATTAATGATAGGGTTATAGCGCTGAAGCTATGGAAGACCGAGGATTATAGGGTTTGCGTTGGAAAGATTGATAATATAGAATAAGCCAATTTCTTTATGATTATTAATCCATAGATTTAATAATGTATACTGAGATAGAATATCAGAAATCCTTTTGTTTACAAGTAATAGATTACAGGTAATAGAAAGGGGATGTGTAGGGATATCAAGCTTGGATATAAGGGTTCTATTTATAAATCTATATCCCACAGCTTTACTATCTACTAAGTCAATGAATGAGATGATTATATTAGGTGTAAGGAAAATTTTTATTGAGATTTTAAGAGATTTGTTATTTATTATTTTAAGATATAAAGGATTTCTAGATATAACCAATCTCTTAATTTATAAAGACAAACTTTTTATAAAGAATCTCGATTCGCGATTATGAATCGAGGTTAGTCTTTTAATATACTTGGCTGGGGAATTGAATTTCCACTATCATCCGAATGTACAGAGCCTTCAACAAATCCGCTTAGATTTTTGTTACCAGTGGGGACTGGAGAGGCATATCGAAATAGTGCTGCGGCAGTCGGGAAACGATTAGCAAACAGAAATATATTCTGATAAGTAGAGCTATAAGCGTTGCGATAGGGTTCAGGATTGTGATAATAATCAATAACGAGAAAACAATAGATATTCGGAGTGTGTTAATTTGTAGCAGAAGGATGATCGAAGTATTGTATAGTTCCTGAATTGGTATTATATTTTGCATTATTGTATTGCTTTTCTTTACAGTTGAATTTGATATAACCAGGCTTTTTGTAATAAAGATAAAGGCTAAGATCTAGACATTGTTCTCTATTATAACATAATAAGGGTCGCTAGCCTTGACAAGCAACATTCAATTGTATAGGATCTCTAGAGGGATCAGGTATAGGTATTACAGTAATAATAATAGGCTTTTTTTTATTGGGTTTTTTCTGATTATTGAAGTTGGTGTCTTGATTCTTATATTGATTATTAAGATAAATCTTTTTCTCTAAGTTATCATAGATGCCTTGCCATTAGACTACCCATATATTGATATTGATAGCAGAAGGTTTATTAGGGCGGTTAACTAAAGTATTGATTAGTTTTTGTGAGACTTTGAGTTTAAGATTAGTGATTTATTATTCAGCAGTCTTTTTGCATTTGATAGTGAGCTGCTTGAATTCGGTAATAAAGTTATCAAATGAGGTCTTTTTCATTTTATATTTATTGTAATTTATGGAAGCTTTGTGTGAGAGATCTAGAGTCTGGTATTGTTTGTTTAATTTATGTTAGATGCTTGTTATAGTATATTATTTAGAGGGCTAAAGATCGGAATTATATATGTTATTTGTGATTGTATCAAAATGTATCTAATTGTTTGTATAAACAGGACTAGAAAGTAGATTAATAAGAAATGTGATTTTCTGAAACTTTGATTTATTTTTGTAATTTGTGGTCAAGTAGTGATTGATTATATTACGAAAAGTTGTGTACTGATTTTGGCGTTTTGTAATATCTTATTTATTATTATTGAACTTTTCAGGAATGATGAGATATTTGTGATAAAATGAAGTTTACGAATTATGTGAATAGCAATCTTCAATGTCTCAATTGTGTCTTTCAATTCGATAATCTTTGATTGAATATTGATGGCTTAGGCTTGAGTAGTGGTAGTTTGGGTTTGTAATGAGTTTGTAATCGATTTGATCGATTCAAATACAGCTTGAGTGGCAGTGAAGTATGTAGTGTTTGGATTATTGAATAGGTTTGTAAAGGGAGAGATATTGGTTTTGGTAAAGTTGAGAATGTGATTCAAGAAAAGGAACTGCGGAGGTAAGCTAGATGCAGGTGTTTCTGGTGTAGGTGCTTGTTCACCTATCTTCGGCACTTTTTGAGGCTCAAAAATATTGGCGGCAGGGTGTACAATGGATTAACAGTAGATGCGATCGGCATGATTGGGATAAGGCATCGATAGGGCTTTTGGAAATAAAATAAGAAATAAAGTTGTGATAGCTTATTTGAAGATGGTATAAACTATTAAGATATGGGTAAAGACTTATATTGTATCATAAGGGTAGAAGAGCTATGAAAGAGTGAAGCCCTACTTATAGGAAGTAGGGCGCGCTAGTATGCTGTGCCTGAGGCACGAAGGCAACTACAGATCATGTAGTTGGCGCCGTGACATACCTAGCTAATCAAAACCTTTTCAATCTGTTTAAAGTATTACCTCAATAACTGAAACATTATAAAAATAATAATAATAAGTATAATAATATTATTAAAAATAAGAAAATAGATAAATACTCAAAAACAAGCTTTTTTCAAATAGGGGGGTAATATAACAATTCAATCCCTTTCAGATTCCTTTTTCAACTACTTAACTTTTAAAACCTTAGCCTAACATATAACTTATTAATATATATAGTCCAAAGCTCTTACAATTCTCTTCTTATTCTTTTCTTCCTTCTTTAGTTTTAGATTCTAAGGTAGAATTGAATCCTTTTATAACAGTCCTTTACATAGAACCTCAAGATTACTTCAAAGCTTTTTAAAATTGTCTTTATTAATATAATTAAAACTAATATTCAATTATATAGAGTAAAAGATTTAGAAAAGGCTCTAAAAATGGAAAAGAAGAAAAGAACTCATTCCAAGTGTTTAAACCTTATAGGGAAGAAGATTAATAATGCTTTTTTATATTTTCCTTTTTAGATTAAAAAAGCTAAAATCTTTTAATCAGAGAAAAACACTTACTATAAAGCAGGAAAAGAAAGCTAAGATACAGAAGAAGGCTAATAAAAAAGCTAAAAAGGAAAAGGAAGTAATTGAAGCTAAAGAGAGAATAGCATAAAGGGAAGTGAATCATCAACTTATAAGAGATATTAAAAAGGAGATTAAAAGAGCTTGTAAATTAATAGGATCTTCTATTAAAAGAGATTTAAAGCTTTAAAAAGGTTTATATATTATAAATCTAATATCTAAGAAAACTATAGAGCCCTTTAATATAATAATAATGGATGAATCAATAATAAAAGAAGGGGAGGGGGTTATACAATCAAAACAAGGCCAATAGATTAAGATTCCTATAAGATTTAAATAAGAAAGTTTTAAATCTTCTTTTCTAATCTATTATATCTTATTATACTCTTAGACCACTTATAGCTTTATATTTTATTGAATATATTTATTATTAAATATTGAAGTTGTTGTAGGGTGAGTTTAAAAACGTGCATGATACAGGGACGTGCACGATGTAGGGATATCGGTTAAATCATGTATTGGTATTCATGATGCAAGTGAAAATAAATTAAAAGAGTCCGTCGAACATATAAACTTTAATCCATAGCAATGTATAGCCCATCGTCGTCTCCCAAGCCCTTACGCAATCCCCGGACTATTCACCGGACTCCTATGCTCTCCCATCCACTTCAAAACATGTTTCCAATCTCTACACATATGAGTGATACCCCACCCATCAACTGTAAACGGAGGTTTCCCATCCGGCATCTCCATTGCCCATTCGATAGTCATATCTGCAGAACACATCATTGCTTGTCGTAAATAATCGAAGCAGTGGGATGTGTGTTCTTTTTCCGATTCTTGAGCCGCTGAGTGTGAGAGATTTTCATCGCCGTGGATGTGCGGGCGAACTCCCATGAGAACCGAGTTGTAGGATTCGCGGATCATGCCCTGTGGGTGTTAGATGGTGATCTGGATGGATTTTAGAGCAAGGAGAAAATGATATTACCAGACAGTGGAGTTGGTGGAATACAGAAACCGAATATCGATCTGGCCCATTTGCTGATGGTAATCCTGGTCGAAGACCATATTTTTCGGGGTTTTCGACAAGAATGAAACCTCGTCCAGCTGGTGACATTGAGTTAGCTTTTTTGAAGATATGTTGACCGGAAAACTTCTGAGGGTGAATTTACCTGGCATTAAATTATCCCATGCTGAATCGATTTCTGGACTAGAAGCAGCTGTATATGTTTCGTCTTCTTCAAACATGACTGGATGTGATGGAACTGCTCAAAATGAGTACGTGATATGTCAAGCGACCGTAATCTTTCAAGAGGAAATTTCTATCCCTAACCTACAATCTGGAGGGAATGTCTGTGGTATACTCCAATTAGAAATGTATGAAAATGTGGCATAGATAACCAGAATTATGGATAATCCACTGAGAAGCCCCAAAGCTACTCCATACAGAAACTTTCGCCGCAAAGCAGCCGCATCGTCATCTCGTAGGTATGGTCCTTCATCATTCTCTATTTTCGGATTCAAAAGTGAATGGTATGGTAGAGAAGTTCTGCTTTTGCTAGATTCGTATGAGTGAACTTCAGGCATGATGAATTTTTTTGGTTTTGTATACTTCTTTTGACAATGAAGAAATGGAGTTTTCGGTTTTCACCAAATTGGGAGAAACCACTCGGGTGTTGAAAAAAATAAGAAGAAAGCTTTCCAGCCTTTTCTTCATTTTCGAGATCAATATCTTCGCTTCGGATGTCTAAAAACCATGAATTTCGTCGCACTGCAGTGAGGATAAAAAAGTTTGCATAAGAATGCCTTGGCTACTCAATCATGTAATGTGACATCTCAAGGATACACATCGTCAAGCCTCGAGGCCATTGAATCTCTAGTTGCATGCAGTGTACGACACGTATAACAACAGGAATTCCTAAAGCCTAGATCACTCGACTTAGAAGTAGCATGGCCAAGTAGTTCTCAAATTTGAAATTTGATTTCATGAAAGTTAGGAAAACATTTATGTTCCAATGGCACGATTAGAGGGTGGTGAAGAAAATGTAAACACAATGTGTCTGTCAAAGATGCAAAACTGCCTACTAGGTAGCTAGATCATATGTATCATGTGATGTGAACATAAACCTAGCGGCCGCGCCAAAATCCGGGTATTCGTCTTTCTCGGAATCTCAGCGCCACATTTTCTTTACGGGAATCTTGATATCATGAAGGTCACAGCAGAAAAAATCCCGTGACATAGAGTCAAAGAGATAGGCAAGTCTAACGGTCATGAGATGAGCAATGATTCCTCAATTGAGTCCCAGAAACCCAATCCACGCCTCTCTGCTTCCCAACACCAAATCATTCTTCTGTTTGTTGTACCCGAGGTTCAATAATCGTGGTGAGACCAACAACAATTTATCAAAATGTCGTCTGGACTCAGCATTCTTCAGGACACTTGCTAAGGATATATCCTCGAATTCAATTCCGCATGGTGGCTCACCACCTCTGAGAAGTGTTCATCCATCCGCGCTTTTGAGAAGATGTGAACGTTCTCAGTTTATCAGAAGAAGAAATGCTATGATGCTTTCAATTCTGAAGAAGTTTCCAACAAATCTTTGGAGCTAATAAATCCAAAAGAGGCTTTGTATCTCTCATCTCTTTCTGAGAGTATATCAAGTTCTCCGGATTCGAAGTTAAATTTGGACGTGGGTTCATTATCTCACATTGACATACGCAGACGTCGAGTGGATTTTACAGAGCCAAAGGTCACAACTATAAATTCTGAATCAAAGACTGCATGCCCTGAATTTTATTCAAATTCAAGGCTAGATAGAAGTGATAAGAACACCTCCGTGCCGAATCAAGGAAAAATTTTAATCAACAAACAGGGTGATAAAGCTCAAGTCTGCGGGCCACCACGTCAAAGGAGACTGAAGTCAAAAGTCAAGCCGGATCAGATCTCTGCATTGGCCGACACGGAAGCTGCATCTAAGAATCAAGAAAAAGCCTCTATATCAAGGCAGAATTCGGTCGTAGTTCTATGGGATGCCGATAACAAAAGAACTTCTCCGTCCTATGACGACGTGGTAACTTCGTTGAAGAAATTCGCTGGGCATTTCGGGGAGCTTATTGATATATCAGCTTTTGATGCTCATCTCACATTCTCTGAAAGTGGTACAAGATTAATAGAAGCTGGCGTCCACATTGAACGCGTGGGTACAGCTCCCCAAGAAGCAGATGCAGCTCTACGACGCGCGTGGAAGAAGTGGAGGATGACGCAGTTAGAGAAGAAACCTAATTCTTTTGTTTGCTTAATTCTAGTCTCGGATGATGCAGGGTTTCGATACATGTTGAGGTCAGCCAAGAGAAGTGGGTTGGGAGTTGTGGTTGTGAACGAATTTTTCACCAAATTCTCGTTGGAAGGGGATTTGCGCATGCCTTGGCCACAACTCAAAGCTGGAACGATAGATTGGAGGGCATAGTCGATCATATTGTTGGCATATCGAACATGGGTCGAAGATGGATAAGGAAGAATATGAATACAACTGATTTTGGAGATGACGATGCAATTGACAAAGTCATATTAGAGCTTAAAATTCAACTGAAGGCCAAAAACTTCATGAGACAGGAATTGTTGTTGAGAACAAAGCAGAAACGGTTGATATGAGAACAACGCCTGAAGCATATATGCGAGAAAGATTTGCAATCCTTGGAGATTCTCGAAAAAGTACTGCGGAAGTTAGAATGTCCATCCGGGTATAAAACCATGCGGGAAATTCAACGGAGTATCTTGGAATTGGAAAATGAATTGGAAACAAGAATTGAAGCAAAGAAGATAGAAAGTTCAACTCACGAATTAACGCCTTTGGAGGGTATGTCTGGTGAAGAATTCCTTAAGCATCTAAGTCATACAGATTTCGTGGAGGGATTGATGAGATTGGCGAAAAGCTCGAGTTCACCGAAGATCGACTCAAATTCGAAGAAGACTTATGCAACTACTTCGATCTGCAGTCCGCAAGGTAAACAAAGGCTCGAAACTTAAGCAATGTCATGCTGATGCTGGGCATCTAAAACTATCATCACGAGGAAGAAAAATGAGATATCACTACCTGAGAGTTACAGAATGATCACCGAGTATGTTTAGACACCTGAGTGATGCCCCGAATCATATTATCATCGTTTCACAGAGGAATGAAAGCGCACGATTAAGGACAAGCAGGCTACAGATATAATGGCCAACAATGATCATGTGTATCCACCGCCACAGCAGCCCACGTCCAAGCTTGTCAACGAGAACCTCTAGTTATACGGCTGTTCTAGAAGAAGTTAGGGTTGATAAACTATGATCAAATCCATTATATATTAATTACTGTTTAAAAAAATTGATCATAGCATAGCGAATACATTAGGGATTAAATCCATGATGTGTGGATCTGTGTGTGCAGGTGATTTCCACAATCTATACTGTCAAGTAGAGAATTATTAACATGGACAAGATGTGTGTAACCAAGATTTGATATACGAAGAAAGAGAAAAGAAAAAAGGAGTGGGTTTTGCATATTGCAAGATTACGATGCTTCCGAGTAACCTTCTACACACACTTCAGAAAGTATTTCTGATGATTGTTACTCAATTTTAGAAGGGTATGTAGACGTTAGACGGGGCGGCTTATTCATCAAACAAATATAATTTGACAGGCGTCGTGACGGAGTGGTTAACGTGATTGACTAGAAATCAATTCCTTTCGGGGGCGCATGTTCGAATCATGCCGACGTCGATTTGTTTGTTCATTCTTCTTGACAAGTTTTTAGTATATTCTTTGGTGCTTCATGAGTTTTCTTTTTGGTATTTAGAGATGAATTGAAATTGGAGGATCGTTAGGCATATGAAAAGGTGGAGTGGTCTCCATTATTGTGGAGAGAAGATTCATGTAAATAAACGAGAATGAAGGGGTAGTCTGATGTCGAAATCATTTTTTTAATCGACCTAGAGTGTTATCACCGAGAATTCAGGGGTTATACGAAAAAGTATTGAATTCCTGATTTACAATCGATCAATTGTACTTAGCAATTTATTAATGATTTATTTTCTTGTACAAGGTTTGACACAGATAATAAGAATATAAAATGTTGAAAATGACGTTTAGATAATATAGCACGTAGAGCACGCTGAGGTCACATCAGCGCCGAGACTACAGATTCGAGAAAGATATATTGAGATAGAAGGGCAAGTAAGGCAATAGAGGGTATTTATCAAATTAAGCTTTCTGGGAATATGAGCTTGATTCCTGTTGCTCTTCTCTAGCCCTTAATCACATCAATATCTGCTGGATCTGGATGAAATCCACTGTGGTATTCTCGTTTATGCACTTCTTCAGAGCATTTTTGTGGTCATCAGATTTGAGAATTATGTACGGGGTAAAGAGGGTGTCCATACTTGCAACTAACCAAAGTTCTCAGTAACCAATTTTTCCAGGATCTTGGAAAGTGCATAGTAATTCAAAATTTCGTCCACTGTCATTGATCGTCCAGTATCCCCTCCTTTTCAACACTTTATATTCATACAAAAAGAACAATCTCGGTCCTGAGAGATCGGTTGCAATAATGAGATCAAGTACCAAAACAGACGCCATGTCCCGGAAAGTGTGAAATAAAATCAACTAATATCGAAAACAATCTCCTCAAAAACTCCATTTTGCATATCGTTCATCAATTCACCTTCCATTACACCATGAACATAGCATGGCCCAATGACTTCAAAAGTTTTATCCTGATTTTTTCGCAGAACCACCGGTACGTCCATGCCATACAGTATACATATTGTATCCCCACGTTTTGTTTCATTCGGCACGTATCCAATATATCCAGATGCCGTCACGAGAAACCTTTGATTTCGTAGAGTACTTTTGACATGGTACGGTAAATACCTAATTTCATTCTTGACGCCCTTGACAGAAGCGTCAAGATTTGGCTCAAATACTGGAAGTGCAAGATTTATCCAATCACTCAAGGATTTTCCAGCGACTTTTAGCATTGCATTGTTGGCGTAAAAGAACCTGATCTCGTCTAATTCTTTCCACTTCCATACGTCTTCCAACAGCCAATTTTCCTTTGGTATTGTCACTGACTTGAATGTGAGATATACAGCTCCGCTCGCAGAAGTTGCTTTGGTATCATGAGTTGTTCGAGATGACACTAGCGTCCTCCAGATAGCATGGAACAGGTCATTCTTGCTAGGGTAGCGTGAGTTATTTGTAGTTGATTGTTGCAGATTTTCGTGACTGGGCAGAGAGGGACGAGTCGATCGGGTCACAAAAGTAGCTGAACCCATGCCATCAACAACGTCTAATATTATTCCTTTTGCCGAGAGAACACCCGCTTTTACATGTACTCCAGAGAAAGGCATTTTTCCCGATGCCATGAATACATGAAATGTATTTGGGTCTTTCGACAGGAAACTCATGAAGTTCCGCGGAGGTGAAGATGCGGTGAAGTCAGGAACCCAAGAGGGTAGACCATCCATCTTATGAAACTTCGGTAGCATGCAGATGACATTCAAGGATTTGCCCTTTTCTATGAGACTTTGTACTACATCTTGGAGGACCCACCGAATAGGTTTCGTATAATCAGGGCTTACGACATCGCGGTCCTCTGCAAGACCCAGAAGCCCATATATACGATCTCGTGGATCGGAGCAAAACGACCTCCTATCCATACACAATAGCTGAGTCAGTCGAACTTTGAGACCACGCGCTCTGCTATCTCTGACAAAATTGATGGTCAGAACTCTCCTCATAGCCTTGAAAACTCCTTCAGGTATCGTACCCGGCGGAAGTGCACAATTTGAGTGGAGATAATAAAAATGTAGCTGTGAGCTACTGACTGTGTCCCAAGTGAAAGAAACAGTGCCATAATGTAAGAAAATGCTTTTTGCAAGTACGATCTCTTGAAAGACCCAAGTTCGCTGCCACCATTCTTTCGAAAAGAACTGGTTTATCATCCGCGAGGAATTATTATCGGACCACACCGGCCATTCTGAGTCGAGCAATTTGGGGTCAATATCTTGTCTAGTCCGGTCTAATCTGCGTAGAATATATCGCAAGTTAGGCGCATCGCTTTCAATCCTGGGTGCCCCAATCCATACAATGACTGTTTCGGCAGAGGAATAAATCATTCCCATACGCTTGACTTCAATTGCTTGCTCTGTTAAATCATTCTGGTTGATACAGATTGCATCCACCCACAGGAACATTGATTGTTGTGATTCAGCCTTCATGTTACTTGTCAATTGCCTCAAGCATTTTGCAAGGTTGGCATGAACCATCACTTCGACGTCGTTCACAACGATTGGCGATAATCGAGCTGAACTTCCCCAGGCATATGAGAGGGCATTATATTTTCTCTCCTGTTGGAATAGAATTCTTGACTGTAGTACTGAGTCCGATTGGTGGTCTCGTGAATCTGATTGTGTTTGAAAAAGTGTGCATGATGGCAAATCTGATGGATTATGTCGTTGATATAGCCTAAGCAAACGAATTTCATCCAGATTTCGATTTAAAGGTCGATACAGCGATGAAGGTACTCCCCTTGGCTGATTTTGCTTTTGTGATGTGCTCGATGTTTTTGCAAAATCGTATCGAATAATGGTATGATAGCCAGAGAATAAAATGTGTATGGATTGTAATAAAAGTACCAATAATATTGGATTTTCCAATGTATTCAACAACGCTCGAAGCTTGCGCAGAATGATGTTCTTCTTTCGAAAGAATGAGGAGAACAATAAATATAGTGAAGCCGGTAGGAGTGTTTTGACATCATGTGATGTGTACAATAATTCTTGAAAGGACGGACGAACGCCATTGATTTTTCGGAATAAGGAAACGAATGAAGAATATGATGACGAAGATATTGACATTTTTGGATTTCGTGATATGATTAAATGATTCTTGAGTAATATTTGTATTTCCAAAGAATGAGAAAATATATTGCATGCAAGCTGCTGCGGGCGGAGCTAATATGCGCGGGGGTGGGAACGACTGTTCAGCTTGCTCTTTTCAACACTGCCACGTTTATCGGCATAGCAGATTGGTTGCCCCTCTACCAATCTCATTCTAGAGGGCGATTGAACATTCAACCTCAGCCAATAAAGAGTATTTATTCAATAACTCGATGATATCATGTTGACTTAATATAGGTACCTACATTGTACAGTGAGCCTTCCTTTACTTTTTTTTCCTTACTCTCTTCTCATCTTCTTCTTCTCGACATTAAGCGAAAAGGCTTCGCCCGAAACTTGTTCCATAATGAATAATTCAAATGAAGCGAGAGAACGAGATGGTTCGATCACTCTAAAAGTGCCCCTCCTCCCCTAAAACAGTCATGAAATAGCAAAAAATCAAGTGGTTTCCACGCGCAGCTTTTCTCTTTCCCTATCGCCATCTACACACACTTTGTTCTTTCTAATATCAGATCCTTATTGTCGCTCTTGTTCTGTTTTGGGTTGAGATTATGGCCTCACCCCGCGTTCTGATTTTTGGTGGAGATGGTGGCATTGGCCGACTGATTGCTGAGTCGATGCTTATGAAACCCTGGCACGTTACCAGTGTCATCAGAGATCAGAGACAAGAAGCAGAAGTTCTTCAGTAAGGACCAAAAAGAGGCGCAAAAGCCGATGTCCTCGTTGTTGATCTTGCACGTATGAAGGACGAAAACACCAATAGGATCCTCAAGGAACTCAAGGCTAACTATATTGTGTTCGCGGCAGGTAAGGAATGTTATGATTATTCTACGAATAGTTTTGCTAAGCTGCTTTACTATTTACCAGGGAATATGAGTAATGTTAACGTGGTCGGTCGGAATGCGGTGAAGAAAACCGTCAAGGCATTTGTTAGCTGTCCCGAGGGTACAAAATTTCTCATGATATCATTTCTGCCCCGCGCCGAAAGCAGGCGCCTTGGTGGGACAGCACAGATTACCAAAGCTTTCTCGACGAGACAAGAGCATATCCAGAGATAGCGGAGGCTAAGCTGAATGCTGATGAGTACCTGCTCGCCATGGCTACCTAAGCAGAGGAACGATGATAGCCCGTATTCTTTTCAAGCAATTAGCTTACGACCTAGCTGACTTACCAATGCTCCCAGGGGTAAAATTCATCTAGGCAAGACCAAATTTTCAGGGAGGGTACCGCGTGCCGATGTTACTGCCATAGCTTCCAGTCTTCTTTCGCGAAGTGATACTTCAGGCTAGTCTGATCTCGTAGATGATAACGATGATATTGAATCCGGTGTGGATAATGCGGTACAGAATAACTTGAATTCCATCAAGGGGGAAGATCTTGAGCGAATTAATCGTGAAGCAAGATAGAGCTATTCAATCTCATGACTCGCCACTATTTGATAATTTAAAACCGGAGCAGGGACACTTACGAATGTAAAAGATTGAAAATTTCCACAACACTAGGAAACTATATGAGCGACACCATCTAACACGAAGTAACTCAACAAATATGAACCCTTGATCATCTCAGAATGATGATCAATTTCACAAAAAGGTATCGCTTATTCACGCTCCATCGAATAAGTAAAGGTACATGCCTCTCTAGGCGAGAAATTAACGCTGGGGATTGGCACATGCGCATCATCCAAAATTGGAGTTGATCATATTATGCTTGATCCCTTTCATAACATATCCTTAAATAAATAGCTCAGTCTAGAGACATCTGCCGTCAATACATCATTCTATTTTTTGTTTTGCTTCAACAAAATCACATTTGTATCCAAGAACAGCCCAATGTGCCAGCAGATGATAAAAATGCGCATATGCCAAACCAGTTCGCTTACCTCTCTCTTGAAGATTCTGCGATGCCATCCATGAAACACATGGATGAAGTCTTCAGATCAAAACTTTGTCAAATTGTAGAGCCATTTGACCTCGTTCTGCCCTCCATCTATTTGTGGACTCAAATAAATCCCAACATCCCTTGATCGTCCATCCCCAACGCTCCAAGAATCCCTCGGTAACTTCCCAACTAGCCACATCCCACGGCTCTCCCCAGATGACCATGCCTGTTCTCCCAGTGCCAGCACTGAAAAGTCCAACCAAGTCTCCACAAAGGTCCATAACATCATATGTGTTTCCGGCTCGGATTAAATTTTGCCGCATCTGAGGCACAGGCAAACAATCAATCCAAGGATGATGGGGAATCCGGGTTTGAAGATCTGTGGGCCGCAATGTTGGCGGCAGTGCGAGGATGCCGTTCACATCAACAGATGGCGGACAAAATGCAGATGTTGCATCATCGTTCGTGATGACGTCGGATGGAATTCCAAGAGTCATGGAATTGCTGATGAGAGCTCGGAACACATTGACTTTGACGAGAACTAACAGTTTGTCGCTCCCCAGAAATCCAACCTTGAAAGCATTTCGTGACCATTTTTGCAACCACTCTATAATTACAGAATCTCCCAGATTGCCTTGTGCGCATGCGACAGCTATTCGAGAACGCTCGCAAGTTTTGGTTTGAGAAAGGCCTGCAGCTGAATTGAAGACATTAAGCAGATCGGCCTCTTGCCATGCAGTTATATCTGAGTGTGAATGGGAGAAATGTTGACTTGTAGCTCTTACCATCAGCGAGCTATCCTCTAATGAGCCACTAGAGCCCGACGAGCTAGTCTCCGAGGGTGCAAGCTTTTGCCCGGAAGAACTGTTCGACACATCGGTCGGATATTTCACTATGCGGAACTGTGATCGCTCAAGCTTCTTTCTTCTCCCTGCAAGTTAGAGACACACACATCATCAGTACTCCATTGTGACATACGAGGACTTATTGTAAAAAAGTGGAACAAGTACTTACGCCAAGCTTTCTGATGGACTCGATTTTGTTCCTTTCTTCGCTCGGCCGCGTTAGACATGCCAGACCGAACATCCTCTACTCCTCTGTTTGTATCTTGCTGCAGCGTATACTCCAGGGTAATCTGAGCGGCGAATGGTGGTTTGGGCATATTCGAACGATGTGGATATCGCACTTGTGATTTACTTCCACCTAGGTGTGGGGTGTACATAAGCAGTAATTAAGTAGTAAGCAACAGATAGTAAGCAAGCAGTAAGCAGATGAGGCACTCAAAATAGGAAAGGTAGGATTGGACGTAGGAAGGAATTAGCAAACAAACTCTGGGAAGGTAGTATAAAAGTGGAACATGCCGGGGAATCTACGGTGGACTTATCTCCGCATCCGGTCCTGGGTCATGCTTGTGCTCGATCGCAACCTTATCGCTATGCGGCAATGTAGTGTCGTTGATGACGTAGATGCCATGGTTGCAATATTGCTCTAACAGATATGGCAACTTGCCCACCAATGGGCAGATCACTTTCAACCCCTCGCATCTCGTTCTCGTCTCTCGTCTACCGGTACAATGTCAACATTCAGGAGAACTTAACACCTCTAGAATCTATCATACTTGTGTCTATTTGATCAATTCTCACATGATGATCAATCTTTCCATACGTGCTATAGCTTCAAATGATTGATTAGTCTTATTAGGGATCAACTAATTTTTGATACCTATGACTATTGCATTGAGTCTGATTGTCTACCTTTTCTTCCGATAATATCTCTTCTGTCCCTCGTCCACTAATAAGTACTTCTTCATTATGTAGTCTGGGTTCCCTTTGGTGCGTCGACATCTGCCTTATATGAGAAACCGTTGTTCAAAGTCGTTGATGCAGAAGGCTTGAGATTGAGAAATGGCCCCACCAACCCACTGATAAACCACGGCACGCAATATTGCATGTTGAAATAAGGTAACTTACGTAAGCTATCTAGGGGTTCACCAGTTTACGAATCTCCACAAGCCACTTTCGGCCGAAACAACAAAATGGAACCAATGCTGCTTTATTGATATCCGATGTTAGGAAGTGAAGCGAGCGGGACAATACTGACTTAAGAATCAAGTAGAATGTTTCAATCGATTCCGATGTTATCTCCATAAAGTCCGTCTCTGAGACCTCACCTGGCTCTCTGTCACTTCCTTATTTTACAGTATATATATATCTGTAATTTCGTATGATTCCGAAAAGTGCACAACGAACAACTAAACAATCAGAAACGCACTATAAAAAGTCAATATGGTCAAAACGATTCCCTTCGGCGACATCCAGGTCGCTAATCCGGGCTTCGGTGCTATGGGGTTAAGCTTTGGTTTAGGAAGTAATCTCAGCTTGGAGGAAGCTGAGCCAGTCCTTCTTAAAGCTATTGAACTGGGATGTACATTCTGGGATACTGCTGTAGGTTTAAGATATCTCTGCATCTGCGTCGGAAGACTGCTAAATGAGAATTCAGGTTGTTTACGCAGCGGGTGTCAACGAGAAACTGCTCGGAGACTTCATTCGAAAGCACAACGTACGTGATAAAGTCTTCAGTACGTTACAACCCATCGCCATTGGAGAACCAACACTGACCACGCTTATCTATAGTTGCATCAAAATGTGGTTTTGATTGTATGGGGAAAGCTGAAGGTGGACTCGGGGGAGTTACTAATTCTGCTTCTCATATTAAGGAGTATATTGAGGGCACCATTGAGAGACTCGGCTTCACACCAGACCTCTACTATTTGCATCGTATTGATCCTAGTAGGTTATCCCAACTTAATTTCGTGCTCAGTCTGCTAACTTTATTTCAAAGACACTCCTTTAGAAGATTCTATCCCAGCTCTCGATGAGATTCGTAAAGCGGGAAAGACCAAGTTCATCGGCCTTTCTGAGTGTTCTGCTGCCACTTTGCGCAAAGCGAATTCGAGTAAGCTCCCATTTGCAATTGTCGATTCCTACCACTGACATTCGTAGTTGCAAAGATTGATGCTCTCCAGGCAGAGTATTCTGCTTTTGAGACTATTCACGAGACAGATGGATTAATAGAAACTGCAAAAGAGTTAGGGATTGCCTACGTTGCCTATAGTCCACTGGGTCACGGATGGCTCGTGGACGACTTTCGGTTCAAGACTCCTGATGATTTCCCTGCGGGCGATTTCCATCGAAGTAGTATGTCTCTGCTTGACTACATTCCCTGTTCACTACAATTTCCCCAGTCTTTACTGAAACGTAATCTTATCTAGGCCCTAAATTCCAAGGAGAGAATTTCTACAATAACAAGGCTATTGTGGAGGAAATCAAGAAACTCGCGACTCGAAGAGGTTGTACAATCACCCAGATAGCTCTCGCATGGGTTGCTGCTCAGGGTATGATTGCTATTCCAGGTACAACCAAGCCAGAGCGACTGGAGGCCAACTTTGCTTCACGGAACATTGATTTGACGAAGGACGAGTTGCAAGAAATGCGCAAGATTGTGGATGATGCCAAGCCTCATGGTAACAGATATTCTGCCGCCGCGCAGTCTATGGTCGGACATTAGAAAGATAGCGCCACATAGACAAGATTATATGAAAGAAATGTTTAATTGCGATTCCAGGCGTAAATATTTTACTATGTGGATACTTAATTTCTTCGATCAATTAATAAGACTTGAAATCTTCATGATCTATACTGTGCTTTTTCTCATTTCTACACCTTAGATCTAGTGTTATATTAGCACATGACAGTAAAGAGGTGTTGAGAAACTAATTGGATACTGCCTTGAGGGTTTCAAGTTGACCCAAATATATTTGTTTATTCGTTTCATAAACTCAGTAGGCATGTGAAAGCTTGCACTTTAGTCAATGGCATTCTTTTGTATACAAAGTACTCTCTGATGATCAATTACCCTGCAAATCAATCTGACATGTATTAAATTAGCTTACTGGAAATACTAATTTGCGAGATTAGCTAAGCTCGCCTTCGTAAACACCTATTGTTACCAAATTATAATATCAATCTTCAATGTTTCTTAATCAAGATCCGCTTCTAGATTCTCCACAAATTATATATACATAATAGAGCTACATTATTAAATATTGCTTATGTCCATAACTAATGAAACTTAGACGAGAGCCACTTGGCGAACAACAACAGTAGCGGGGTTGTGAGCGACCTACATCTTTCAGATTGATATATCTGTAATATGATATTTTTGATAAAATTATAAACTAAACTTTAAGATAATATACCAGACAGTAGGATTTTGATTGAGAGTATTGGATTAGTAAGTCTGAGAGATATATTTCGCCTCATTGGAGAGAAGATATTCGGCAAAGTAGTATAGAACGGTGTTTATCTATTGTGCGGTATTATATATAAGAGTAGCGGTAACAGTAAATAATCTCAAACAAAACATGATGTCATTCCATATTCGAAAACACAGGTTCAGAGATCAGTGTCTTTCAACCCAGCCATGTCTAATGACAACTTCCAAAGTCTGCCCTCTCTTGCTTTATCATAAGCATGAGGAGCCCAACCAGGTAGTGCAAATGGTTGATCTGAAGTCCATGGGCCCGCAATCTGCACATCATCCAAATACTTTCCACCATCTCCTTCCAAGCACTTGGCGATTGCTCCCCATACCGTTGTGGCGGCACCCTGCGCGGGCGATTTAAGACTTTCATCAAAGCCCCCCTGGCTTCTTAGGTCCGCAATGTCTTCACCGTTCATGGAATCCCATAATGGCGTAACAATACCACCTGGGTGCAAAGAGAAGGCATGCAGATGCTTTGAACCGTATCGCCGTTCAATCTTATTGGCCATCCAGATATTACATGTTTTGCTGCTTCCATATGCTCTCCACTTATCGTACCACCCAGTGAGGTTGATATTATCAAGATCCGGCTCCCCACGACGGTGACCCAAAGAGGAGAGATTGATAACGCGCGAAGCGAATTCGGGAGTTGCCGAAGCGAGGATTGTAGGTTTGAGAAGATAGAAGAGGAGAAAGTGGGACAGATGATTAGTCTGGAATTGTGATTCGAAGCCATCCTCTGTCATAGTCTCAGGTACAGCCATGATGCCAGCGTTGTTGATCATGATGTTCAACGTTTTACTCTGCTCGAGGAAACTCGCAGCACATGCTCGTACACTTTTGAGCGAAGTCTGGTCCATCTCTAAGAGGTGTACATGTGGTGATTCAGCAACTTCGCCGAGGGCTGCTCGTGCTTTGGTCGTATTCCGAGCTGTGAGGAAGAGAGTAGCACCTGTTGCAAGCATTGCACGCGCAGTCTCTACACCCAAACCCGCAGAGCATCCAGTAATAAGTACAACTTTATCCTTGAGCTTTCCCTCGAGCTCCTCGTCTTTGACAACTTGCAACGCTGTTGGACGCTGATCTCCCGGGCCGAGGAGTTGCTCGTGAGCTGCAGCGTACCTGTTTGACATTGGAACGCGATAACTTCGAAATGAAAGAAGGGAAACTTGAATACCTGTTACAGAGGTGGACAGGAGGAAAAAGGTGTTGGTCAATACGGATCACCTTGAATTTAAGCAAGTAACATTGGGTTACTTATGAACAAGGCATTGTACCTTGACCAGTGAAGCTTTGCTCTAGCCGGACATATCGGCGGAGATACTTCAGGGAGCCATGAAAACCTTAAAGATGAAGAAATTGAGACCCAATTTTATGCTTTGTGGGGCTAGAAAAAGTGGTAGTAAAGTGCTTGAGCCATTCTATTAAGGGTTTCAGATCATCTTTCTTAGATTTGTGGACCCACTCGAGTAACCTTAGTTAGCGGTAAAAACAATTTAGGGTCGAGCTACTGATGCGCGTTGCTTACGACAAAATTTCCTAATTGAGCATCTTCTCTTCGGAAGATTTATCTCTTGAATCATTTAATTTTTTTGCTCTGGATAGGAAGATCGTAATGTATGGCGATCTTACCCTGCGCTCAGCAGCTACAGTAGATATAGTAAAGTGTATCAAGTGACTGACAACATGCGAAGTTGTACTCTACCTTGTCATCTCTCAATATATAAAGTGTTAATACCACACAGGGCACACGGAATCAAGTTCAAATCCATTGTTCCATTAATTTTCCATTGACTAAACATCATCTCTTTCCTCCCACTTCAGTAGTATTAGTTATGTATAACAAAATGCAATACATGAGGTATGCTCGAGCTCATTACACAAGGAATCAATGCTCAGACAGAAACTAACGTCTATTATAGAGTTGGAAGCTCCGGCCTCAAAGTCTCCAAGATCATAGTTGGCTGTATGACCTATGGTGACAAGAACTGGCAACCCTGGGTCCTGACCCAAGAAGAGGCATTCCCTATCCTCAAGCATGCATATGATTCTGGTATCAACACATTCGATGTCGCCGATGTAAATTCCAATGGACGCTCAGAGGAGATCCTTGGCGCCTTCTTCAAAGAGTATAATATCCCTCGGAACAAAGTTGTCATCATGACCAAGGTGTTCCATTTCGTCGATCCTGCGAGAGGAGCTGTTGATGCCGCTGGCCAAGCGAGAAACGATGATGTTCAGGTGAATCAAGTCGGACTATCAAGAAAGCACATTTTCGACGCTGTAGACGCCAGCATTGCCCGCCTCGGTACTTATATTGACGTTCTCCAAACTCACCGTCTTGATCGCGAAGTGTCACTCGAAGAAACCATGAAAGTCTTAAATGATATCGTCGAGAGCGGGAAAGCTAGATATATAGGTGGTAGCTCTATGAGTCTTCTCTAGGTCCTCGGATCACTAAAACGAATTTGACTAATGTTGTTGTTGTAGATGGCAGCCTGGGAGTTCCAGATGGCGCAGAACGTAGCCGAAAAACACAACTGGCATAAGTTCATCTCAATGCAAGGCTTCTACAACCTGCTCTACCGCGAAGAGGAGCGCGAGATGAACGCATACTGCAGGGAAGCCAAGATTGGCCTTTTTCCCTGGTCGCCACTAGCCGCCGGTGTGCTCGCCCACTCCTGGGAAGATCGCACTGATGAACGTGAGAAGAGTGATGTCTTCTTGAAGCTACTTTTCCGTGGTAAGCATCTTGAGGCTGATCAAGAAATTGTACGAAGGGTGGAAGAATTGGCTGGTAAGAGGGGTGTTAGCATGGCCATCATTGCGATTGCTTGGATTATATCAAAGGGAGGAATGGCGCCTGTCTGCGGATTATACAACAAACAGCAGGTGGATGATAGTTTGAAAGCTTTAAGTGTTCAACTTACCGAACAGGAAAGTAAATATTTGGAGGAGACTTATGTTCCAAAGCATGTTATGGGTTACTGAATGGATGGCCACACTGTGTGCATCCCTGTAAATTTGAGAATCAGGTCTATACCACGAATCGAAATCCAACCTAATTATCATATGAGCTTTGCTAAGAGTTGAAGTGTCTTGGTGTTTTCAAAGTAGCCTCCCAAAACAGTCAAGCAATCGCCAAAAAATGATTCGAAAGCCCAGGTCGAGAAGTTTCATTCTTCAATCTGATCAAGTTAGATAATATCCTTGAAAACCCCCAGCCAAGCCGGTATTCTGAGCTTACATGCTCTCTACTTCTCCGTGGATCCTCTGTTGTCGGAAGCTCTCTATAGAATCATCTCAGTTTTAATTTAGAGGATAGTCGCCATCTCGTCCAAGTTCATTATAAACTAGAACATTGCTCGAATTGTTTCCTAGGTATGAGGTTCATCCTGGGATAGCCTTTCACGATGCTATGTCTCCAGAAGAAAAATGAGTTTGGACGAGATCACAGACTGGAACCATGGGAAGAAGGATTTCTCAGACTCAGAACAAACCTCGAGATGAGTCAACATTGAATTCAGAAACTAAATTCCAGAAAAACAATCATTAAATTAATCTAATCATATTTGTCTATGTCAATTCCCACCATAATCATAACACACGATTCCCACCTTTCATACCTGATAATACCAGATTAAATTAAAACGAATACAACGTTATAAGATAAAAATAAAGAAAGAGACGATTTTGGAACAGCACACTAGCTCAAACCCGGGTCCAAACAATGGTTCATTCCCTTTTTGCAGGCCTCCTAGCGCCTATATCTCGTTGTTTGGGTAATTCTTTGGTCAATAAACTTTGATTCTACCACAATGCGACCCCGGAGGAAGATGATAATGTGTTAGTGCTCTGCGCAGAAGAAGAGGGAGCAATCAATGCCGATAGAACGATAGATGACGAGAGGAAAACAGTGGAAGAAAGGGCAGAAGAAAGCGTTGCCGTTGAGACCGTACCATTTGAAGGCCTTGGGGAGCTAGAAATATGAGCCGTTGGTGGTGAGACTGGAATACTACTTGTAGTTGTAAGGATTTGGATGAACGTAGTAGTTGTAGTTATTGTGGAGAGAATCAGACCAGTTGAACAAGTTCCATTTGATGGGGTTATGGAAGGTTGGGGAATAGTGAGAACCTCTGTACAGTGTTTGCATGGAGGCTTCGAGGAAGCCGTAGGTGTAAACGATGGGTCAAAAATTGTTGAGGCAGTTGTGATGGTGACAGGGGTGGAAGTCACAGCTGGAGGAGTGAATTGGCCGACTAGACATGAGCAAGCAAATGAGAGAGCACCTGGTGCAGTGTCACATTCAGAGACGCAGGCTGGGAGGGAAATTGGAATCGTGTGAACACTTGCTGTATAGGTAGCGCAGAATGAAGTCACGGCTGAGGATTCTAGCATTTGTTTGAGGCATGGATCGTATTGACATGTTGACGAGGGCGAGGTTGTAGTTGCTGGAATAGGCGTAACTGTTGAAGTTATGACAGACCCGGGAATTGTGGTAACGAAGGTAGAGCCTGGAACAGTGGTTTGAACAATTTCACCAGTCTTAGTGATTGTTAGCGTGCTTGCCGAAATAGTTTTCGTTATCGTTGTAGCTGTTACAACAGTGGTGTAGATATTCGATGTATACGTCACGTATAGGGTTGATGGTGGATACGTGGAAGTTACAATGTGTCCAGATTCTGTGAAGGTGATTGTAGAGACAGGACGAGTTGTTTTGACTACTGTTCCTGTCTGAGTTACCGTGAGAGTCGAATCGCAAGGAATGACAGTGGTTTCAGTAGTTGGTGGGATAGTCTTCGTGATAACAATGACTGATCCAGGAATGCTTGAAGTGATAATCATGCCAGGTATAGTGGTTATGATGGTAGATCCAGGTACTAGAATTGGGTTGGTCAGATCTTATGATAAAATGGGTGTGAAGGATCAAGGAAATTATTTACCAGTCGTAATTATTGGAGTTCCAACTATTGATGTGACAGTCTGGGCAGGAGGCTGACTAGGTGTGATAGTGGTGGTTATGACAACGACAGTTCCTGAAGTTGTGATAGTTTTAGTGATCGTTTCGCAAGGTATAGTGCTCTGCGGTGGAGGTTGACTTGGTGTGATAGTACTGGTGACAAGTATCTCAGAGCCAGATATTGTAGTCGTCTTGACGGTGGTTTCGGGTGGGGCAGTAGTGGAAGGGGTATAAATGACGATCGGTGAAGATGGTACTCCTGGTGGACCCATGCTTGGATTGGGAGTCGTGTTTGCTGGAGGGGTTACTTCATGACTGATAGTTTTTGTGATAGTGACAGTTTGAACAGGAGTAGTCGTGATTGTGGTGTAGGAGGTGACAACTGGTGGACAATCGGAAGGTGGACAAATACAAGTCTCACCAACCCATGATCCGCCTGAAACCGGCTTACTTAGAGACGATCCGGATAGTGCAAGCACTGCTAAAGTAGCCAAGTTTCGACTTCGAAACATGTTAACAGCGTAGAATATTATAAGATAGTGTTGGTACGTAAAAGATACCGATGTGAAGCAACGAGAACAACGGACGAAGGAGTGAAGACCGTCTTGATCGAAAAGAATAAGTAAATGAATGAATGTGATGATGAGATGACCTTACTGATTAAAATATTCAAAGAGAAAGTACTCTCTTATAAAATGTTACAAAACACCAAACCAAGGGTGATATGTTGGGACATTGGAGACAGAGGAAAGAAATTTTCGATCGATATATTGTATCGCCTTGCAGGTACTCAAAAAATTGAAAATAAGGGAGAAGATTATTGTACAACTGGAAAGATACAAATATCCGGTACATTCAGGTAAGGTTAATACGTTCATGAGGGGGGCTTTGCAAGGTGGGTTTGTCACCAAGTAAGGGATGAGATCTCTTCAAGTAACCAACGCATCGAAGCTATCAAAGAACAGCAGAAGCAGAGCAAGGACATTTCCAAGAACCTCCTTTCTTCCTTAGTGATATTGCAGCAATAGATGATTAAAGGTGATGTAGTCAAATTCCCAGAACATGCTGGATTTGTTGTGTGAAAAAAATTTGCTTGCAAGCAGCAGTCAAATTGTAGATCAGCGGGTATACCGAGCTGTAAGATTTTGACGGTGATAGAATGTTCAAGAAACCAGAGCATACTTTGAGAGATTCCGATATTGTTGAGAGCATACATAAATAATCCTATGTTCCTAGTGAAAGAAAGTGATGTTGTTCCCAGGGGGAGGGGAAGAGGGGCAAATTCCATGATGGAAGGATATTGAACCCGTCTAATTAAGGGATGATTAGTCGAATACCTGTAAATTGACTTAACATATGGAACGGGGAAAGGAAAGGAAAGTTGGGCCAGGGAAGACGGATTGGTAACACTCCGCTGGATCACTGCCGTGGAGGTTTTTCGCTTCGCTCTTGTTAGGTTGGCTAAAGAAACGAAGGGGTCGCCATTCAACTTTACTATACATAGAACCAGTGAAGATAGAAAGAATCGCTCTCCCAGAGCGAAGCGATAAAGCCTCCACGGCAGTGGCCCAGCAGAGCGTCATTATTGAACTTTGAACATCTATTGCCGTATATATCATATCAGTAATTGGAATGAGAAAGGGGTGACATCGGAAGTGAGGTTAAAAATATTTACCTGTGAGGTTTGTTTGTAGTGACAATGAAGGGAGTGACGATTAGATATTTTTGGTTGCTCAGTCAGCTTACTCACTAGTACCTTGAAGGCTACCCAATCACTAAAAATGTCTAACCGTAATTTAGCCGGGAAGTTGGATCTCCATCATAATCAACTTTCTTATCGAAACATCCTTCTCCCTCCAAAAAGTTAAGAAATGCTTTCTTTGAATAATTTTATCAACATCACCTTGCTTTCGCAAAGACAATCCAAATCCAGTACATTTGTCGCGTAACTGGATATTAGCGATCTTCCAGAGTTTTGATCCCTAAGATTCGTCTGTCGATGGTTGATTGTAGGTAGTACAATTGGTGTTGTGTGTGGGATCAATTTATCCCTGAGTCGTTGGAAGACAGACAGGACAGAACATAGAGGGATAGAGAGGGTAGAAACAATGGGTAATTGTTCTTCTTGTCTTGGGCTGGAACGTAATCGGGATTCGTCGGACGAGGTTTGATTTCTCCTGTCACATACAAAATAAAGCAGTCGCTGACAACTTTGCAAATAGGGTGAAGACCAAAGGCTATTATTCGAAAACGATGCACATCCTCATCATTACGGCAGTTTCGGGAACCAAGATTCAAATGCCATTCAAGCAGATCCACAAGAAGTTCAAAGGGAGACAGAGGCCTTGCAAAGGGTCGTAGCGCAAACGTCCAAGTACGCATGCTCCAAACGTTTCTTCCACACCGACACCCCTCAATCCATAAACTGCACATCGTGGAACCAACTGATCGATCGCATTGATGAATTTTCTAACTAACTTTTGTGCCAGTCATCTCGTTGATATCTTCGCCATGGTCCCCCAAAATGTCCCTCGAGCACCCGTTACTATGTACAATGGTCAAGACGCAAGACTATTGCGGTATCAGGAAGTTCTAGCCAAGATGCCATCACAGGACGGATCGAGCAATACAAAACAAACCCCCGTCGAAAGTACCCACCCAATTTCCGATGGTTGGGCATCGGACGATGAAGATGTGGAGGAAATGAAGAAGTACAAGCCGGTCAAATCAGAAGACGTAGGACCATTATTAGGAGGGTTTGCAGATGCAGAGTCGGCCATGGAGTAGAACATGGATTCGAACTTATACGGGCATCTTTGTGTTCCACGGCGTATTGGAGTTGGGAAGGTCGTTACAATATCCTCATACCACGGCCCATCATGCTGCCGCAATTTCCCAGGAGGAGTATCGGGAATCGACTTCTGACTGGACCAGCTAAGCGTAATTTGACTATGCGTTGTATCATTCAAGCATTTCCTTTGTCAAAAGCGCCTGCCTACTGGTTACTTGATCATGAATCAGAGCCTATCACGTCTCTCTCTCATGCTCTGCAGTCAGGCTGCACAGATATCCATTGAGGATTAGCCACGTTACAATTTACTACTACACTCAAGGTCATTCAGTCTGAAATTCATAAAGGGAAGGGAGGATCCTGTTGAAGATTTTTTTTCTTTTGGAAAGCGTTTCTCGACTTCTTTCCTTTCTTCTTACCATATATATATATTTGTTATCCGTATCTTTATTTCAACCTCTTCATGAAGAAAACTGTTCAGTGATGATAAATTTGCCGACCAGGTGTGTATGGTTGAGAATGGACATTAGGCTAATTGCAATAGGAAAAGTTTTACACAGCATCACAACACATACCTACAGAACGAGACTTCGCTATGTATATATATAGATCGCGACCCACAAGAAGGAACATTCAAGTGGGATTTCTTCATTATCGTAAGGATATTGATCATCATCGACGGCCAAATTCTCCGACAAGTCTTTTGATATGATCGCCTTTTATGATTTCGGATGGTGCCTCAATTCCCCGAAAGTTCAAGGAAGCTTGCATTTAGCTCGCATACACTAATTTCCCGAGCCGCCCAATTTCTTCATCTAAGCGCCCGGTCAACATCAAATGGCCCCTCAACATTTGACCAGATTGTCGGTTCCATTAACAGAGTTCAGTCATATCCACAAGTCATTGGCAATTTATTGGCAAATTCAAGGAACTTGTTCAAATGATCGTTTCATCGTTAAGTCGTGAGACTATCTAATTCCAAAACAATTCCTTCATCTGTCTCCAGAGACCAATCATTTCCAATATATCCTTAAATGAAAGACCACTCTTCCGTTCCATCATTTCACTCCATCAAAAGAAAGAAAACCCTATGAAAAAAATTCGAAACGCGACAAAATAGTTCGCTAGTTCTGTACTATCGTGTTATGTGGAAAGTTTCACTGAGAAAGGAATTAGCATCAAACATTATCACTCGGACAAGCGATTGGTCTCTTACCTTTCACAAAGCTAAAGCATTCTGCGAGCGTTGCCATTCGAGACTATTGACCTCTTGTTGCAGGTCCCGGATCTTTTCCTCTGACGCCTCGATTGAGTGTTGGCGACTCTTTCCGTTTTCCTTCTTCCATCGAAGTACACGCTCCTGCTCCTTCTGGATACGGCCCCATTTTGTTTCGATCTTCGTGCAAATCTTGCACCTTTCATGACTCTGGTATGTGGTCATGACCAATTTCATGCCGCAGGTCTCGCCTGTACGGTATTCTTTGGCACAATGTTGTCGAAAGTGGCCCCACTTGTAGTCACCACAGACGAATTGGCACTGGTCGAAAAAACACATGTTGATGGGAGCTATGTGTAACCATTCATATTAGTCTTGCTTCTCTACAACACACCATATGAAACGCGACAAGGCTTCATGGCTCAAACTTACTGGTCGAAGTACGGATATGTTATCGATAGAATGTTTGAGATCAGAGACGACGTCTGATGATGTCTCGAGTGAGGTTGTTATACTGGATGGCGATGACACTTTGAGATCAAGAAAGAGTTGAGAGATCGTTTGTTGAGATGCTTTGTTTGAAGGATGTTGATGATGGTGGTGGTTATTAGACCTTTGGGGAAATCAAGAGGAGTATTTATACACGATTTGGACAGCATTGTTCATGGTCCGGACAACCACGCCGTCACAATCCTCCCAGCCTTGCAGCGTGTTTGTCTACTAGCCCCCTCGAGTTTTCCACGCTTCCATTCGAGCCAACAAACGAAGTGCATATCCGTGTGCCTTTCTCACCAAGACATACATGCAACTAATCACATCCTTGGCTCAATCGCCAGAAGAACTGGCACCTATCGTATTCCTACCCTCTGCCGATGTTTGGCTCAAGTTCCCTCGCGTTCAGTTACCTCTCTCGTCTCGACAGGGTGGACACTTCATCATGTTAGAATTACTGCATTGGTAATCACAGTCCGTTGCAACATCGTGTGTGCCCCCTGCCGAGTGTAGAAGTTTACGCTATGGGAATCACGTTATGAATTTCCTATCCCGTCATTTCCTTGGTTTTACTGATTGCCACAAATCCTCTTCCTGATTACTGGATCATCCGTTCTCTGCTTGCAACGAGAGACCCGCTAGACCCAAGGACGGACCGTAACAACCTTCTTTGTGGAGAGATATCGACCCAAACCTATCACACAATTGCCGGTTGCTTCTTATTCCAAACCAACCGGAGTCTATCACAAATGATGGTCGGTCGATCATCATCATTCTCATGAACTGGCTGTGGTAGTAGAACACTATTGGCTATTGTCTTTTCTTCTCGTTCCTTCTCTAATCTATATCCTTGATATCAAGACGTTTAATCCAGCATATCTCGCTTTGAGATATTGTCACATGTTGATAACTCCCTGCTTTCTGGCCAGATTCGCATCGAGCCATATCTGCCTGAAAGGGGTGTTTGATAACAGGACATACTTTTACAGTCTGGTGATTGCAAGCCACCTGGAATGCTTGTTCTATTTTCTGCAACGTTTACATGGCCGCAGATTGTGCAGAAGACGGCCTCGATATGCATATTGACTTGAGAGTCCGTTCCGTCTTGCCGAGATCAAGGTGGTCAGAAATCAATGTGTTGTCAGATACGGACGAAGCCTTGAAGCAAAAGATCATCCATACAATGCGTCTGCAAACCAGCATACCCCGATCTGCTTAGCTAGAAGATGTCACAAATTCTCGCCACTCACGGCGTATCTCACACCTACAATGTTTTCGCTAAGCTGTTGGTTAACACGATGCACTGCACACCTAGCTTGGAGAGAAATGGTCCCAATGAAGGGCTTCGGATGGTCACTGACGTGGCGACCTAGGTTTGGCCGAGCAAGTCGCAACTAGATTACAATATCGAGGTTCTCAAACTACGGCTTTGTCGGGCTGCAATCAGCATTTTCTCAAGGTAACACACTACCTTCTTTGTTTTCTCTCGCATTTTTCCGCCGGAGAATAATTCTGTCATATTCTAGCTAGAGTATGCGGCCTCACTTTTTAATCGCTTCCGGTCTTTAAGCTCATTTTGTCCCCTCCCAAGGGAAGTGGTAACTCGCCGTAAATCCTTCAGATTGCCCCTGAATGGTCATTCGAGGAAAGACCCGATGATGCAGATAATAATCATCTTTCTTGCTTTCTTCATTTTTTGATGGACCATATCAGTATGGTCAGCATTCAAATTGTGAAAGTCGATATTATGGGGCGTCAAGGACAAGGCAATTGAGCGCAATTGTTCGTTGTATCGGTGGCAAATACTAATGCAATGAAGTCATCACACCAACGCTATGTGGTTCTAAAGATCGGATGTGCATCTTGGGGGGCGAAAGATATCTAGTACTTCTGTCGTGTTTGCATGGCAGGTGTCAGCCAGACCATAGTTAAGCCAGACACACAAACATCACAAACATAGGATGAAAGCTAAGTGGCCGTTTTTCAGTTTGCCTTACTTTACGTTGTACTTGCGTGGGTCAGGGATTCTGTATCTCGACGTTCATATGGTGTTATGCCAATCTTATGTGTCATTTATCATATGATTTCAGGAAGTTTTCTACTGATGAGCAGTTTCATCTCTTTATCTGGGGACAGTAAGAGGGAAAGGCATTCCAGTGAGGCAGATTCTATTTGAGGGTTATTGTACTTGAATGTATCTTATCCATTCCTGGCACACCGACCAGATGAAAACGAGGGGTTGGGAGTTAAAAGCCAGCTGAACTTGTCTAAAGTGATAAAATCAAGCAGATTCTAGGATCATTGAAAGCCCGCTCAGTGTAATTATGCATGATGAGATGATCCAAAGTATGAGTTGTATTGTTTATGGCGAAGGAACTGGCTTGTATCGTTGTTTACGTCTATTGAAGCTTCTAATTTTTTGGCCCCCTTTCCTCACGGACGATAAATTTAACAATAACAACGGCCCCTCAATGGGCTCACAAGCGAGAAATTTAGAGTTCTGCGCCCCCAAGAAAACAATAAGCATCAATAGAACGGGAATTAGCATCGACAACATTCCAGTTCCGACATAGATCAAAACTCTCCAACTCTTCGAAGGTCACAAAATTTGGCGCGCGACGATAAAAGTGCGATGACTACTGACCTTACTTTCGGGACTGAAATGAATCATGTGTTGAATTGGTGATGCGGAATTACAGTAAGGGACGAATCAAACCGACCAATTGGCTTACTTATGAGAGCTCCAATGAAGTCAATTGGTATTTTGTACTGGAAAAAGCTGGGCATGAGGCGAATTGAAGAATTTGATTGGATGGAGCTACGCGGGAGAGGCGGTTCCTGAGTTATTGGCTGTGAGGGGTTCTGTATGGAAGACTCTAGAAAACGCAATTTCATAGATTAATTAACAAGCTAGTTAATTAAGCAGCGAATGTATGATGTGTGATAGTGCTTACTTGATTGCAAGTAGAATTTTTTGAAGGTGGTCAGATAACTTGCAACGTGCAAAAGGATGCGTGCTTGCTTCTCGAATCAATAGTTGAGTTAGCCTCTTACGCGACCTGTATATCTGTCATGACATGGTGGACCAAGTTTACGAGCTGAGATTCAGAGTGAAAAATTTGTAGAAGTGTGTATGTGAGGTCAGAAATAGATACTAGCAAAGAAATAACATGAGAAAGGGTGTCATTCATTCAACGTGTGCAGCAAGCTACCCTGCATATGTTGGTCATCTTTGGGGTCGCTACATGTCGGGTCAAGTCTGCCTTCTTTTGATCTTCACATTTGATGTACGAAGTAATGGAAAGCTAGAACCACGACATCGTAAAGGACGGGCATCCCATGCATGCACTACCACACCACCTTTTGATAACCGTAATATATTCAACACACGTAGGATGTAGGTGTGCGGATCTTGGATGTTCGGGCATGATGTCTTTGACCGATGGATGGACCAATTGATCAAGTAGCCTATGGATAGATAGGTGAGCGAATTATGGACACCTTACATTTGCCAAAATGGAGTTACAGTGCGTTTGCATCGGCGTGATTTGCTTGGTCAACGATTTCTGTATGACTGACTCGCAAGAAAATGGTAAGATTCAGATAGAGAGGTGGGTAGGTAGATACTAGATAGGTGCACATGTATTCCTGCGTCTTGGTATACAAGACCTCGGATCGAGTTGTTACGATGAAAAGTATATCAAACATGTATGTAAATGCGGGACAATTTTGGGTCTACGATACGGTCTAGGAGAGGTAAATATGAGGCGTAAAAAGTTTAGTGAGGAGTCAGCAAGCACCGGTTGATCTTAGGGAATGGATAGTTTTGCAAACATAAGCTGCGATACTAAACTCGGGCCGGTACGGAGCCGGTGGCAAGTATGTGGGCTACGGAGATTTTGGTTGGGTGAGGGAGTGGTGGTACCGTGATGGATGGGGTCGAGACCAGACCTTGTGGTCGGGCCTTGGGAAGTTTAAAAGATCTTGACTTGTCGCCTTATAATGATTGATTGATTGATTGATGTTGTGTAGATGTATTGGACGGAGAATAGAGAGAGAGAGAGAGAGAGAGAGAGAAGGTTGATTGCATGAATAGTGAGGTGAGAGGTCGCTTCCGAAGTGTTGGGCATTTTTGGGATGACGGGGAAGTTGTTGGGAAGGTTCGGATTGAAATTTTGAGGTAGGTGGGTTAGGACAAAAATCGCAAACAAGATCGATGATTACATGACCGATTGAGTGAGCGATTGAAAATTGATTGTACTGTAGTGTACTCGGGTCACTATCATCACAAGAACGCCTTATTCACTGATCGATCTATTGATCATTGTACTATGCATACTAGATTTTATTGAAGTTCGCGATGACCTCAAACGACACAAAAGATTTTGAGTTAGATAAGTGGATTGCCCTGTCATTTGAGATGCATGCCCCATAATGACACGAGTATGATGTACTGTACCTACGTATAGTAGCTTGACAGCATGTACACGCCTCCACCTTACATGAACAGTATGTATGGAGATATGATATACACGTTTTATAGTAGAACATGGTACCTACTTTGTACCTAACAACCCATGATTTGCACGCACGGGGCACGATAGATGATCGGAGATGGAGTTGTTTTGGGAATAGTCCATCAATCGTGTAAGCAGGGCTGATGAAGAGGAGCTGGTTGGTTGTGGTTTGCTGGTGTTGAGGGTGAGTTGGCGGGTCGGCAGGTCGGTCTAGTTTGTAGGGTTGTTAGTTACCGATAAGTTACGCCTTACCTGATATTGCTATATGTGGGGATAGAAGGTGGAAGGAAAATTATTGCGGCTCTAAGAGCGAGGAAGGTCGATTTGTGGGACGCGAAGGGGAGTTATCATGTGGTTGATTTTTGCTTTTTGGTGTTGCCGGAGGTGTTGATTTTTGGGAGATGAGAGGCTGAGGGACGTGTAGTGTGAAAATAGAAGGTCGTGTTGGGGTCTCAGGAATAAATTTGCGTGTTGAACATGGGTGTGATGGGCGATGACGAGTGGTGGAGATGATCGTTTGCTGTCGCTCTCGAGTAAAGGTTGACATCAATAGCAATTTGAGAGAAGAGGAAGGCTAGCATGATTCAAGGAGGGGGTTACATATTTGAGTTGATCATCTTTACATACGTATCGTTTTATTGAATGTATGAGGGAGGCAGAGAATGACAACATATTTTGACCTCAAAATAGAATTTAGTTACCTACTTTCTTCCATCAATTAATTTTCACAGCACGCAGATGTGCCTAAGCGGAGGCAAATGAAGGGGCTTGAGCAAGAAAGCTCGGAAACTCGAGCAAAGTCGACTTGGTAAGAAATTTACGATGTGAAGATTTCACAGAAATGGATATCTCATCGTTTCTTTTAACTTACAAGCAGTTTTACAAGCAAAAAAGTAAGTTGTCGTCAATATATTGAAATTGCGCTTGATTGTTTATCAGAAACGTTCATTCTTTGTCTCGGAATGTCTCAGATGCCGCCGAACCGTGACTGCATCTGCAGCAGCTTGATGAACCCCCGCTATTTCCTGACGACGACGGAATCCCATTACAATCGACATCCATTCAATTCATTTTCTTCTCAATCAATCACAAATTAGCAGCTGGATATATTGTTTCATACACAATATCATGGAGTTAGCTTCGCAGAATGATGAAAGAGCTACCGCAATGGAAAATGCGCTACGATACGAGATCAAAAGCGATAACGATATCGGGAAGCTCAGCTTATCGCAGTTTCCCGACGAGTTGATCCTCGAAATCCTATCCTATCTGGACGTCAATGACTTGTTAGTTGCTTCACGGGTAAGTTATGATATTTGTCTAATTATTCCAAACCCCTTGAAACTATGATTCCTCATGACGCCGTGAACGATCATTGATAAGTGTGCCCGCAGCTATCTCATCACCTCCGAACCCTCTGCCTCGATCCCCTTCTCCATGCACAGCGTCTCCATGATGCATCCAACGCCCTGTCTCGCCGTCTTTCCCATCGAGCTCCTCTTACGGATCTAATGAGTCAAAGAATATACATTACCCGAACTTCACTTGCTGCCCGAAGTCTGGGGAGGAATCTTATCAGGATAAAACTTAATAGGCAGCTTGGGCAAAGACCTTCTATCGAGACGTTGGTGGAGAAAAATGTATTGCCGAAAGAATGCTATGGATACGGGAAAGGAAAAGTAGCACCAGGGCTCGTGGGAATCAAGAGAAAGGTGGAGAGGGAAAGGGTTAAAGATGGACTGAGGGCGTGGGTGGAGGGATGGAGGGGGAGGGTGGGAGAAAAAGAGAGAGAGATTGAAGGGACGAGGGAAGGGAAGGTGGAAGTAAGGTGGTTGGTTAGAAGGTTTGCTGGGAGGGATGTAGATAGGGGTGAGGGCGCTGCAGGGAGAGGGACGTGGGGTAAGAAGGTTGAGCGGAGGGAAATTCCGGCGAGGGCGAAGGTTCTGGGGCTGAGGAGATTTTGGGAGAAGGTTGGGAGAGAAGGTGTGGAATATACTGGGAATGGCTTGGGTAATAATTAAGGACTTCTTTTCCAGTATGTGGACTACTCATTTCGAAAGTTTGTATAATACGAATCATAAAGGGCTTTTATCTAGAAGGGCTTGGGACGGCTTTTCTTTGATGCATTTTAATAGGTATCTGATACCTAAAATCGCGTGCTTGATGCTGACTCCTAACGAAAGTTCTGGGTGAGATGACTCCAATGCCTGATGACCTCCCTCGGGCACATGGTATTTCACTTGAGATACATCAACGACGACCAAGCTTCTCAAAGAACCGTTTTATATGCCAGGAAACATGAATTTTTTAATACTGTAATTCCAATGATAATAGATAGGCAATTCATGATATGAAGAATGCTCACTCCTCCTCAAGGCAGCCACATGTCGAAAAGAAAGATGTGAAAATGACAGAACGATTACTCCGAGCCCTCATATTCGAGGTAAATGAATGGTTATTTAAAGGTGGAGGTTCGATATAAACCTCAAATTGCCACGGAAACCTATGAACTCTACCAGATAAGTATACCCCAAACATATTGCTAAGACTGTGTTCTAATTCCAAAGTCTTCTCATCTCCATTCATATGCTTCAAATCGTATCAGAGGGGATTTTTGCGGTACGGTATTCGACATATGGTCAATCAAATCAAGTTACGGCTTGTCCAATGTAGTTGGATAAACTATTGTGATCAAAGTCACCGCAGTAAAGTGGAATTGGAGTAAGATCAAGAGTTGGGGAATTACTGAAACAATCAACGGACGAGCAAGCATAGTTATGTTGCACTCGTTTATATATCCATGGAAGCCTTCTAGTTGCATACAGGAGAAAAGACTCGCCATAGAAGGAGATATATTCGGACAATGAACAGATTACTTTGGAAACGAGTGAAATGTTGCCAGTGTTCGGAACTCAAACACCCTGCTCAATGGTGATCACAAGAACCTTTACCGGAATCTTCTCTACTGGCAATGCATCCCAACCACATCTCGAAGATCGGTCCTCGGCTTGATGTACGGATTTACCGTTCTCCTTTTCATTGTTATTTGCTCAAAGGCATAGGCTAGCCCAATGAGTTTTGCATCTGTAAATCTTGCTCCTAAGAAGCTGAAGCCGAATCTAGATCTGTCGTTAATAATTGGTCGCACTCCGCAAATCAAACTACTTACGGAATATTAGGCCCCGCAGATACTAGCCCATCAGCATCAGATACTATAGGCTGATCAGACGGCATCGCTCCCATCGGGACCGATATGATAGGCGCGCCAACAACAGCAGCCCAGTTTGAAGAGAACAAAGACGGCAAAACAACAGCGTCAAGTTTATATCGCTCAATTACTCCCAGTAAACCTCCTTCATTGCCCCAGTCTAGGGCTCGTTGGTAAGTACGCCAAAATTCATAATCGGTGTTATTCCAGTTTTGTAGTGCTGCATCCCAAACGTCCGTAGGTTTATTTGGATAGCCCTCTAGTGGGCTAGATTGAGTCCATTCGCGTATATCGGGTAAGTCTTTTATATTGTGCGGATTGTACACTAGTAAATTTAGATATTTCTCCACAGCTACAACAAAATCTGCTGCAACGATTTGGACTGTCAATAAACCATTATCGATGGATTCTTGTGCAGTTGGAAAATCGGTATTTTCGATAATAATGGCTCCAGCTGATCGTAGAATTGCCAAAGATTTGTTGAAAGCCTCAAGCATTGATCCCGTACTGTTGTCTGACATGAGTGAAATTACATTTTGAGGTACGCCCAATCGAGTACCTTTGAGAGCCGAGATGTTACACGCATTGACAAAGTCCAGGTTAGCTCCATACGGAATCGCAGAGGTATAGTTATCCAAAGGATCAACACCTGCGATGCTCTGAAGAACATAAGCGGCATCTTTGACAGTCTTCGTCATCGGCCCTATAGTATCCATGTGTTCGCTGACTGGGACTACAAGATGACGTGATGTCAATCCCACCGCTGTGATATTTTAGTAAGCAGTCAAAATCATAATCAGAATTGCACATACTTGGCTTTATACCAACAATATTGTTATAATGAGAAGGTGCTATGATCGAACCACTAGTTTCCGCACCCAAGCAAACTGTTGCTAATCCCAGTCTTAACAGGTTAGCTTTTGCTTATTACTAGAATCATCACTTACGTCGCTGCCACCGCGCTACCACTCGAACTACCAGAGGGATCTTGCCGGGGAAAATATGGTCCATATGTTTGTCCACCGCGAGCTGACCAGCCGTTACTGATACTGAATGATCTGAAATGGCCCCATTGACTGGGATTCGTCTTTCCTAAGATAATGGCTCCAGCTTCTCGAAGTTTCCTCGCGATGGTTGAATCTGCAGGCACTTTAGCCCCGCTTAGTGCGTGGGATCCAGCAGTATTGTTCATTTTATCGTTTGTGGCGATCTATGGAAGATACTACTGTTAGCTGAAACAGTATAGGAATCAAACGATGAAAAGCGGAAAACGTATTTGAAGAGTATTTGGTGCGTTTGAGACGAAGAAAGTGCTTCCGTTGCAAGGTCCTTCGAACTGAAGAAGAGAACATACTACATCTTTAATCAAAATAGGGATTCCATGCAAAGGACTAAAATATCAGCTTAAAGATGCCACATCTATTCACTCTCAGAACTCACCCGCGAAGCGTACCCATTGATCGCTCATTATCGAGCGTAGAGGCAATAAGTATGGCGTCCGGATTGATTTCGACCACTGCATTCAAGGCATCATTGACGTCGTTGATCCGGGCTGTATAGGCCTATTGAAATGATTAGGGCAGGTTCCAAGCTGATGCATGGGTGCTAAGATGACTTGCGTTGATCAAGTCGACACTGGTGAACTCTTTATCCTTGAGACCTTCTGCAAGATCTTCAATACTGGCTTCATTTAGATCTAGAAATGTAGTCCCAGGGATATTGGTGGTGGTGGTCAAGCTCGAATTGGCACCACTAATGACCAAAGCATATAACAGGATCCTAAGAATCATGTTGATTGAATAATCGGGAAACTCAATCATGAAATTATTAAAGGTATATCTTTCGATATTATTATGTTTTCTGACATGAAAGATGACATACATTAACACCAAAGTTTGTCCACGTCAGACATTAAGGAAGTCGTAATCCAAGTGATCTAATTGGACGATTTTGTCTGGTAACTTCCTTCCTGTTCCAGATATCTCAAATGAATATCATGTAGGATTCCTTTTTCGTCTGTCTGGCAAGAGCTTTTCGAAATTTCATTTGATCTGTTACAGGACGTAGCGCAAATTGGGCATTTCGCAATGAGCCTAGTTTATTGGGGAACATACTAGCCACACATAATAGAATAAGATCATTCAGAATCTGAATTTCTTCTTATTACATCTCGGGGATTGAGGTTTGGTTGAATCGTTAGAGTTGAATGTAAATCGTGAGTTTTTGAATGTAAAAGGGATGGTACAAGCATTTTGTAGGTAGAGTAAGTGGCGCAAGTGGCTTCACGGCCACTATCATACAGTGCCCTACATGTAATGTGTGACAACTTGTTTCAAAAGGCACTTTCATATTCAAACTCATTAGAAATAGTTTTCAATTTACAAGTTCCTCTGCTTGTAGTATTGTTTGGAAAGGTAGATATGCACACAATCAAGGAGATATCAGGCTAAAGATAGAAAGGATAAATATATCAATTATTCAATAAGTGGCTTGCACACCACCGACAACTCCGAAACATGGTGCCCTTCTCCATTTGTAGACTTAATCATTGTACTAAACGGATGCCATGCATATGCATGAAGGTTACGATAAAGTATGCATTAAGTAAGCCGCTTGGCTTTCATATGTTCATAATGTGGCATGGCATCTTTTACCCAAGTCTCCAAGTTCCCCGCCATCTCATTTCCAAACTCCTCTTTCCACTTTTCCACCTCTTCTTCAACAACTAGCCCAGCTGAAGTTTTCCCTTCCAAAATCCCAGAAGAAGATCGCAATGTAGAGCTCATCCTTCTCCAAGCAGACGTCGATTCTCCCCAGTCTTTCTCGGTCGACTCCACGTCCCACGAAAACCTCAATCTCGTAGGATCTACTCCTATCATTTTCGCATATTTAACCATGATATCGCGGTTCGTCATGATATCGTCAGCATCGAGAACGATTGGCTCCTCTGTACCTTGAGAACGGTACCAATCATACAAATCTCTCGACCATTTCATCGTCCTGTCCAATTTCCAGCATTTCCACTCTTTTCTCGCATATTCTAATCCCTCCACGTCATGACGAGCTCTGAAGAATGAAGGGATAACCAATGCAGGATGACGAATTAAAAACGTTGGCATCCATTCCTTCAAAAATTCATCTGGTAGAAGCGTATCATTGCCGATGGAACGTGTTTGACTGTCAAAAGCTTTTACAGTCCATTCTTCTTCCCCAACTTCTTCATCGTAAATGAATTTCGTTAGCGCAACAGGATTTATGAGCCAAGCCGCATGTTCTTTAACATAAGCGAATTTCCCTTCTGATTCTGCGACAATAGCATGATCACGCAAAGTTTCGAAGCAGGACTGATGAGCTGCCAGAGATTTCTTTCTATCCTCTTGCGTCCAATCTCTCATATGTGGTGAATCGGCAGTGAAGAGATACTTCCGGGTGTGAAAGCTGTCGAAGAAGAAATATCCATGTTTGGATCTTTCGGTTGTGTAAATGTTTGGTTGATTTTCGAGATTGAGGATTGTAATCAAGAGATTGGAGGCTGTGCGAGGACTGCTCAAGAGGAGGTGATTGCGGCGTTGATTGCTCATGATTGAAAACTTGATGGGTTATCTTGCATTGGAATTTGGGAACTGGGAAGGTTTTTCGGGAGTTGAGATAATATATTCCAAGTTTGATATACACGAGGTAACAGATTATGTTATGTCACTAACCAGTTAAGCGCGCATTGCATAGTATCGGGTATGTCGGGCACACGTCAGCTGGGTATGAGATACGACATGCAGCACTAACGAGTCAACCACAGCTATGTGAAACCTTTGAAGATATACCTCTTTCACAGGAAATGTCTTAAATGGCAGCAGGACGCCAAGTCCCCCCCCACTGATCTCCAAATTTAAGTCCAACCCTGTGCAGGCAATTGTAAGCTTGGAAAAAGCAACACAAACTTAAATTCATGAATCTGACATGCATATCAACCATGAAAATATTGGCATATTGAAGGTTGCTTGGTTACACAAGGGCCTTGCCGTTCCATCGCTGTTACAGACGCTCTCATTTTTAAATCTTCACGAGTTATGCTGGAAGTGAATTGTACCGTTTTTAAATCATATCTTTCAATAGTATGCATAGAAAACGCCAGTTATTCCGGCCCGTAGTAAGTATGAGTACCAGCCTCCAATTTCTCGGATGGTATAAGGGTTTCTCGACATTTTTCCGTGTGGTTGAGAATCTTTGGGTACCATTTTATATATTCATCTCCTAGTATAGCACTAGTATGCATATCACATCCGGACTTCTTATCGTGATACTACCACGCTAAAGACAGACCCACCAGTAAGCCCTCCACTAATTCTTGACCACTTGTTCTGAATCACCTGCTCTCTTCCTGGTACATGGAGGTTGCATCAAGACATTTTCGCCTAGCGACGAATTAAGGGTTCATCCCGAGGTCTTACGAAACACATAAGAACATGGTTCCTCCCGCTTTCTGCGGTCTCAGGAACAACTCCGTATGAATCATCATGCAGTATTGTATTACCCCAGCTCGCTATTTTTGGGAAATTTCGGCATTAGCCCAGTCCAATTTGATGGACAATTACAGCGAAAAAGATGCCAATGTATCGTCACAGGTATCAGGTATCAGAGCATAGAACTCGAAAAAGACTATCTCCTCGCATGTTTCTAATTGCTTTTGGTAAAAATGTTGTGGAATAAGTGTTGTCTTCCTGATCAGCCCGATGACCAAAATAAGCAAGAATTATGAGACGACGAAAATCCGGGTACTTGCAATGTAATATCACAAGCTCAGCTGCAGACCTTTGAAGGCATACCTTTTCTCGAAACCACTCCCCCGTACTATGCTAAACAATCAAGTCTATGAAGTAGCCCTGGTATCAAAATGCGCAATGCTGAGATGGCCTCCTAACGGCTGTGCTGAGCCATAGAAGGTCATTTATCGCAAATTATATCATAATGCTGTAATACTGAGATATTTATCACAGAAGTGAAAAGTGGATTGGTTGATATTTGTCAATGAGATCTGATTCGCGCTATTGCAACGGCTGAAAGGCTAGGTTGGTGCAAGTAGCGCTGAACTTCGTTATGAAAGAGCACATCCTTCGATTCTCCATAAGTTGACCATTAGTCGTCACGTCTCGTACAAGACCTTTCAGACGGCGACAGCAAAGTAACACGTAAATGAATCGTTGTAAAGAGTAGAATGAAGTTGACTTACTTTCTTCCTTCATCGCATAGGGAAAAATGCAGGAGATCTTGCGTTGTGCTTCTGTCTCTTTGTGATTATCCTGCCTTTAGCTTCGACGAGATTAAACAGTGACGTGAATCCTTCAGACCATACTTAAATCTGTGTATACAACGACCTCGGGAGATATTGTTGTCGTGATTTTCATCGCCATATGGCTGTCAGAAGCCTGATTGCGACCATTGCGCGTGATAAAAACATGATATATGAGATCAGAGATAGGAACTCAAGGGTACTGCCATAAAATATCCTCGATTTGTTGGACAACGGGCATAGAGTTGAGTTCGCCATCGTGATTGTTGTTGGTTTGTCGTCGGCGGGCATCACGTGGTGTCTATGTATTGTATGCTATGACCTCGCCACGGTCATGGCTCGAATCGACCACCCTATCTCGAGCCTATCTCTGCTTACCTACTAGGTGCATGGAACTTCTCCGTTCTTGATGAAACAAAACTTCTGGTCCGTTCAATGTTCAAAATCAAATCTTACACCCTATATTTCGTAGAGACCAGATATGAGTCTCGAGAAATTGGCACGGTAAATCACAGATTTATTCGCAAAGGCTACACTGATACCCTCGAACTGTAAATACCCAGGATCTCATGCAGTCACGGGATATGGCCTCCTCGACTCCAACTTCTAACAAGACAACAGCTACATCAGTAAAGCTACGTAGTTGTGTAATATGCAGAAGTCGAAAAGTTCGTTGTGATAAGTTGTCGCCGTGTTCTAATTGCCGGAGAGCAAATATCCCATGCGTACTCCCCTCAACTGATCGACCTCCTCGCTGGGCCCGCCGGCTCGAGCGCGCTGGTAACTCGGTAGCAGAGTCAAATGGCGCAAAGCCAGGACAAGAAGCTAGTTCCAAGGGAGATTCGGTTATTGAGAGACTTCATAATCTTGAGAATTTAGTAAAGGAGCTAAGGGGCCAATTGGAGCACGCCAATGCCACAGCAGTGCATTCCAATGATGATGGCTTGCTTGGGCTTGGTGGTTCTGATGGTTCATCTCTCGATCTAAATCATGATCTAAACAGCTCGAAAGATAAACTCTCTGTTGAACATACTTCTGATGTGCAGAAAAAATTCGGTAGGCTAGTTCTAAAGGATGTCAACCGGAGTCGTTACATAAGTAGTGGTTTCTGGGCCCGCATGAATGATGAGGTAGGTTTGTTAAAGTTCTCCTGTAATTTCCGCTCTATACATTGATGAGTTACTATCATTGACGCCAGAGTAGATTGAGGGATTACAAATGGAGACTCGAGGTGCTATCGACGCTGATTCTGATATATCTTCAAACAATGAAGATGTACCCAAGATGGTATCCACATTGGAGCACGAGCGAACTCCATCGGAGCGGCATGGTTTTTTATTCAAACACAATCTAAACCTTTCTGATTCCGACCTCTCTAAGTTGCGTCCATTGCCGTCACAGATACCTTTCCTGCTGAACGTATACTGTGAAAACATCCACGTATTCATGCGAATTGTAGATATGCCGGCCATCACCGACATGATCCGTGAGTTACGTGGAAACAAGGGCAAGGAACTCACGCCAGCAAATGAAGCTTTAATGTTTTCCATCTATTACGCTACAGTAACCTCAATGGAAGAAGACGAGGTAAGCGTTTCCTAGTCCAGGGAAGCTTTGTCTCAATTATTGTGCTCACGACACTATCTTACTCCTAGGTCATAAGCAACTTTGGCTGTACAAAATCGGAGTTAAGTTTCAAATATCGACTTGGTCTGGAAAATTCACTTGCAAAGGCTGATTTCCTCAGTGAGCCTGATATAACCCTTGTCAAAGCTCTGCTCATCTTTCTTTTTCTGGTTCGGCGTCACGAGAGTCCTAGATTTGTCTGGATGATGACGGGCCTGGTCATAAGGATGGCTCAAGCTTTAGGTCTTCACCGGGATGGTTCTCACTTTCCTAACCTTACTCCCTATGAGATTGAAACTCGTAGGAGAGTATGGTGGACGGTATGTTTGCTAGATTTGCGAGCATCCGAGGATCAAGGTACAGAACTGAGCACTACTGGTAATAGTGTTGACACAAAGTTTCCACTCAATATTAATGATGCCGACCTCAATCCTCATACAAAGGATATGCCACCAGCGCGTTCATGTGTAGCCGACATGACCCTTACTGTTGTTTCAGCCGAGATGTGTGATGTTATGAGACGGTTGATGGCTTCAAGCATCGGAGAAAGTCCGTCAAGTCCCGAAATTCAAAGCCGATTGTTACATGAACTTTACGGGACAGTCGACAAACACTTTCTTCGATTCAACATGGGGAGTAAGACCATTGCATCCTGGTGTCTATCAACTTTGACACGCATGGTTGTGTCCAAAATGATTCTTATTCTTAACCTTCCGGTGCTCTTCTCCTCTCCCAGCGAGAACCATTCGGAGAAGGTTCGAACAAAACTCCTAATATCTGCCATTGAGGTAGCCGAGTACAACCATGCCCTTAACTCCGAGAAGGCTTGTCAAAATTGGAATTGGCTTTTTCAAACTTGTACGCATTGGCATGCAATCGTATACCTCTTAATAGAAACTTCTCGACGCCAATGGTCCCCCATTATCGAGCGAGCTTGGGTCGCTCTTCATAGCAAATGGTTGATTCCTCGGCAATTAACCAATACCTCAGAAAGAGACGAGAACTCGCGCATCTGGGTCCCGCTACGGAAACTTATGGCTAAGACGCGTAAACATCGAACAGCTGAGCTACAACGTCTGCGAGAGAATTCATGGTCAGCAATTGAACTAGAGAGGGAAGATGAAAAAATACCGCTTCCAGCCAGTCCAGTACCGTCTTATGATGGAAACTCCGATAATGTCTTTCGCGAACGTTGGCGTCAGCTGGTTGCAATACCTCTAGAGATTGAGGATCAGAGACGGCCTGCTGAGATGTATACCCCAGAATCAACTGCTAGCGGCCCACCTACAATTCAACGGAGCCTTGATTCCACATCGGTGTACGAACACAACGACTCTTCCTCGAATCTGTACATTGACAATAGCAAATTTTCCGGTCAAGAATCATCGAATCTGTATGACCAGTCAGTAAATCCTCAAAGTCAAACAGGAATAGAGCAATCTTCATATCTATCACACGACGGGGTTGATCCCACCTCAAGTGGGTGGTATGGTCCCAGTCTAAATGTAAAGTCAAATGATATGACACCTCCATGGAGCGAAATTGACCCCTCAGCCGGCATGTGTGAAGATATAGATGTCAACATGGATCTTGACATGGACGTGAATTGGTATGAATGGATTGAATCGGCACAGGTCATGGATCTTCCACTTTAAGATAAGATGAAGAGGTACTCTTTTCTTTAAGTCCATATCGGTTCTGAGAATCGGGATTGTTTTCGGTTTTATCCTTCTTTGAAGAGTTTTAGTTGGATCATGGAATTATGGTTAGGAGTTATATAGAATATATTTGACTGCTCTACTCGGACTTTAGCCAATACTGATATCCATCAAAAACATTACTATAACAAGACAAAACATACTAGCCCAATACTACCCTTCACTCGACTCAAACCCCCAAATCCCAGCTCGTGTTTTTCTCAGTCCCAAACACGTTCTCCAATTAATCAATCTCCCATCCATCCACACCCGCCCACCACCTTTCCTACTGCTCCATACCCAAACTAAACCCCCTCAATCTATGCAGTCTCTCAAAAATAAGCACTTTTCCCCATCCATCCATCCATCCATCCAATCCAATCCCCAAATTCGCAGGGTTGCGCATCCTTCACGCTTACTCTCCCAGCACGCCAAGATCACGTGTCGTTCTCGCCAACCGAGTGTGGGGGGCTGCGCGAGCCAAAAAGCGCGAGAAAATGCCGAGCAAGTGACGAGGAATGAACGAAATGATGTATCGGATATGGGATTTACGAGATGGGGTTTTCTATAAAGGCGCTGTTGTCGCTGCGATTTGGGGGTAGGAAAATTATCAGTTCAGTCACAGTTTTCTATTTACTACTTATTTACTACCTAGGTACTTACTTACTTTTGAGTTGAGGACTTGATATCCGAGTTAAATCGTATATACATCTGCAATTCAACTTCTTTCCACTTTCGCTGCTTTGAGATAAAGATTGAGGTCCACCAGTCTAAGCGATTACCCCTTTGAGCTATTTTCATTCTCAACTCCGCAAGTTGTGTATTGTACCTAGGTATTTATTGCGAGGCATCAAACTTCACTGTCAAAATGTCTACAGTGGATAAACCATGCAATGAATGCATCAAGGTACATCAAACCCCCCACGTCATCTCTCCCAAGACGCTAGCTAATTCACTCTAAGGGAACCATCCACGCCGGCCTCCCCATCGGCGACTACCAAACCATTCACGGTCTCCGCACCTACATCGTCGGTAACCCTTCCACCTCCCGCGCAACAATCGTACTCTACACCGATATATTCGGGCACCTCCTCCCCAACAATCTTCTTCTCGCCGACGCTTTTGCCGCCTCTGGAGAATATCTCGTCTACGTGCCTGATTTTTTCGAAGGCGATCCCGTTGCGCTTAAAGTGGCCGATTTGTTAATTCCCGTGGATGCCAGTAAACAGGGGACGCTTGGTAAATATACGGGGATCTTGGCTAGTGCGCCGAGTTTCTTGATGTGGATGGGTCGACATAAAGAAGCGAAGTGTAGCGCGGTTTGTAATGGATTTTTGGAGAAGTTGAGAATGGAGACGAAGGGAGAGAGGAAGATTGGTATGGTGGGGTATTGTTGGGGAGGTCGATATGCTATTCGTGCTGGGCTGGAATCGAATATGATTTCAATTGATGGGAATAAGAAACCATTAATAGACGCGGCCGTTGCGTTACATCCAAGCAATCTGGTATTTCCTAGAGATGTGGAGAGATTGGTTGTACCAATCAGTTATGGATGGGGAGAGAATGATGTAGCGGTTTCGATTAAGTCGAAGGGAGTTATTGAGGAAATTCATCAGAAAGAGAGGGAGAAGGGGAGGAAGGTACCGGAAATGGAACACAGGGTTTATAAACCTGGAAGACATGGGTTCGCGGTCAGAGGGAATCCAGATGATCCACTGGAAAGAGCGTGCCTGGAGGACTCGATGAAGCAAGGTTTGGAGTGGATGGGAAAGTGGCTTTGATTTGGGCTGAGAGATATCTGGAGTTTTTGGGAATTGTTTCTTGGATAATGTCATCAATTTATTTGATATCTGAATACCCTTCTGCAACTTGTTTGCTCTTCCTATTGTGATTGATATCGATATGCAATGACGATCGGCTTCGTAAGAGCGAAATTCTTCGCTTCCTCAAGGGGAAAAGTGGAGAGATGAGAAGGTGGGCAGATCAATGTTTGCTCGACGACAATGAATCGAGGGACCCATCCATAAATATGGACCAAAAGTGTAAACGCATTGCAAAGAATTTGCTAGAAACCATCTCAGTTAATAATCGTGGGACAATGAGCATTTGATTGAACTATATCTCGGCCTTAGCACTTGCTAAACATAAACTGCATGTTATGTATATTAATCCCACTTCACTTCGACATATCAACAGGACTATACCAAGATTAAAACTGAACGTATTCAATTTTACATCCTCATAACTGAGGAGCAGATATCCTGCTTTATTAAATAGGGTATAATCACACGATATCAAACATCGTTATTGCCAGCCTCCGTATTAGTACAAATCCAGATTTGATGATCATCTTAACCTGAATCCATCCCAATCATCCTCATCGTCCTCGTCCTCGTCTTCGTCGTCTTCCGATACATCATTGGCTGCAGATTCTTCTGTTGGTATTGGTACCGTTGCGATCGCTTCCTTTTCTTTCGACCTCAAAGCTTCTCGTTTCTCTCTGAGCCGCTTCACTCTCTGGTCTAAGCTTTCCATTTCCTCAAATTCTTCTTGCAACTTTCTACTTGCATCCTCTTTATCTCCCTCTACCTCAGCTTCGAGCTTCTCCTTTCTCCGCGCCTTCTCTTCTTCGGCTGTTCGAGCTTCCACTTCCGCCGTAGTCATTGCAGGTGCAAATATGACAGCCTCTGATTCGACTTCTGTTGGAACATCCGCAGCGGCAATATCTGCTTCGAATGCAGCCCATTCGTCTTCATCCACATTAGCTTGTTTGTTTGGAGGCGGTGATTTGGTTGGTTTCGCTGGCGTTGCAGGACGAGAAGGAATTTGCAAATCATGAGGTATCGCGGATTTTGAAGGCGATTCGGATCTTTCTTTTAATGAGTCCTCTGCTGGAACAAAAAATCCTTCCAAAGCAGTAGGTGTAGCTTTACTACGCTTTTTTAAGGTGCCATAGTCCACATCCATATCCTCATCTTCATCGTCCAATTTCCTCTTTTTGCTATTTCCCTCGTTGCTGTTTGTGTCCGCTGTCGCATTGCGTTCACGTTCTGCTTCTTGTTGTTTTGAGAGTCGTAAAATATGCCCTGGTGATCTTAAATGACCTTCCCATAATGATTCACTCTTCATTTGTAAATGGCAGACGAGGCACATTAGATTACCGGCAGTTGAATAACCAGCATGTTTATGTTGTATGCGACGAGCAACTCGCTCATTCTTGAGAAGCGAACGAACATCTGCCATGATTATTTGATGATTTTGGTAGGAATTACTGAATCATATGAGGAAGAATTGGCAGTATTCAAAAATAGAGTGTTCTATTATGTGCTGGTTGTTATACTCGAACTTGGATATTCTTGAACTATATTGTGATCAAGAGGTGAGGATACCTGTAAGTTCAATGATGCATTTGTCGAGGCTGAAGCTCCTTAGGATTTTCAATTGAGCTCTTCAAGGTTCCAAGGTCAAAGCTGGAGCTCTTTAGTGCCAAGGCGCTAACCCCTAATCAGCTCCAATTATCTTGATATCTACTCATTGGCTTATCAATCGGATCTTATTACCTCCGATATCACATGACTAATATCCCCGCACCTTGGAAAAATCTTGGAATTTCTATGCCAGCCTTGCCTCTTTGCCTCACCAATGGGCGAAAATCGATCAATCTCCGCCTTCCTTCTGCCCTATCTGAAATAAATTCTCAGAACATGACCATAAGAAAACAAAACAAACCGCTCAAATAGCAATCAACAGGCCTTTACTGCCCATCAAGTATCGAAATACCTTGTCGCATTGTCTCGAATACCTTCATCATCACACTGCGATCAACAATCCTTGACACTATCAAGTTCTTTAAAGCGATTTTGCGCACTCAATACACGCGGTCAATCAACAATCAATTTGAAGCTTGTCCGTCCCAACCGGCTATCAACAATACCCAGAAAAAAAAATCAAAACCGCGACCTCATCTGATTGTATTTGGGGAAGGATTACAAAGAGAAGCTTCCCATAACCTTTTGATAGCTTCTTGTTTCTTTTCTGCATATTACCCTTTCTTCAACAAACCCATAGCTTGTTCGTAGAGCCAGTGATCGCGTGAAATCAATTCATCAACGCGTACTTTGAAATTCAGCTCCAGGGCGTATATTCATCCCTTGTAATCATCGAATTCGCGTCCTCAAGAAAATTTGAACCTTTGTATCGTTGATAATATCCTTTATTATGGCTGGTAAGTAATAATCACCTCTGCGCATGTCAACCCACTTGCTTCGCGCAAGGAATTGGCAGAATGCTTCCCCTCCAATACTATCATACGAGGGAATAACTAACAGGGATTGTACAGACGTTAGGAAGTCGTCGCGAGCGACAAAAGGACAACACCCGAAAGCTCATGAGCTTGATCAACCTATCGAAACGAAAAAGAAAGGAAAGAAAGGTGGAAAAAAGACAGCTATTCAAGAAGAGGAAGTTGAGGTTATACGTTGTGTTTGTGGAGTTACTTCGACCACGGATGATGATGAAGCTGCTTGGATCGCTTGCGACATTTGCGCCGTCTGGCAACATAATGTTTGCGTAGGTGTAAGTCCATATGAGGAAGACACACCAGACAAATACACTTGCGAGCAATGTGCGCCAGAAGCCCACAAAGAACTCTTGGATGGAATTGCTAGAGGTGAACAACCTTGGATCGCAAGGCAAGAGAAGCACGAAGAGGAAAAGGCAGAGCAAGAGAGACAAGATGCTGAGGAGGCGGCAAGGAAGAAGGGCAAGAAAGGCAAGAAGAGAACAAGCGACCAGAAGCGCGATGTAACTCCTGCGAATGGAAAGATACAGTCCCCCTCAGTTCCAGCCAAGAAGGAAACGCAGAAGGATTCGCCCGCAAAGGTATCCAGTCAAAAGCGCAAGACAAGAGATGAATCCCAAGATAAAGAAGCTATTAAAGTAAGTCATTGGGTTCACTACGGAATGAATCATGCTAACAGTATTTTAGGAATCTTCGACTAAAGTCCGCAAGACGTTGTCTCGTCCTACACCTAGAGCTTCTCCGCCATCAGACTTACCTAGCAAAATTTCTGAACTTGAAGCAGAGCAACAAGGCCAGGTCACTTTGATTAAGAAGGGTTTACTTCAAGCCATTCCACATGCTATTGAAGAGCGTTATTATACCTTACGACCCGACGATACCATTGATGCAAAGGCCGAACGACTTGCCATTCAAATCGAAGCAGCTGTTCGTAGTACACACCCAAACAAGTCAGCCTCCATCAAACAGATCCGCTCGATATTTCTCAATTTAAAACAAAATCAAGAATTATGTAATGGTTTGTTGTCGCAATCATTATCACCTCAGGCCTTGGCGGTTATGACAACAGATGATATGGCAAGTAAAGAGTTGAAACGTGAAACAGCACTCATGAAAGCAAGAGCCGATAAGCAATCTATAATGATCACAGATGATGGTCCACGGATTCGAAGAACTCACAAAGGTGAGGAAATTATCGAAGAAGACACCAATCCTAATGAATATCCTGATATTCCAATGTCTGCAGCACATCGACGAGAAATGTTGGATCCGAATGCTGGTATGGGTGATAGGTCTAGGTCTCACTCACCCGAAAACGAGGTTGAAGTACCAGAAATTCCTGAAGACTATCCATCACATGATAGAGTCCGCACTATGTCTACCCCAAAAACACCTTTAAATATCGATACCAAGCAACCTGCTTTGAGGAAGGGCTCAACGCAAAGTTCCGCAACAGGAAATTTTGACATCAACAAAGTCTTTTCGAGTGTTCAATCGCCTCATCCTTCCACCAATAAACAACGTAATGCCGATCATTACAGAAGGGCATCGAACGCACCGCCTCTGAATGGACCTGGAGATGATTCTGATGTTGACAAAATGCTTCAAGATGATAATGAATCCCCGCCGTACTCTCCAGTTGAAGACCCTTCAGATCCAGACATCGTTTGGAAAGGTACAATGAGCATGGATTCGGTAGCAAAATTTTCAGCATATGCTAAACAAGTTGCTGGTCCAGATTTGAGTCGCAATCGTATGCAAACTCCATGGTCTGAACTTCTTCATAAAGATTTAAAGGTTCATGGTAGAATCGATGCAGACAAAGCCAATGAATATTTATGTGGTCTTCGATATAGTCCACCATCTGATGTAATTGTCATCAACATAACACCAACGTCTGGATCATCGGATTTTCTTGACTTGTATAATTACTTTCATGACAAGAAACGTTATGGAGTACTTACTAACAAGGGTCCGGGAAATGTACGAGATACATATTTAGTTCCAGTCCCTCCTGGACCCGGCAATATCCCAGACTTTGTTGTCAATCTTGCAGAACACAATCTACCAGAAGATAGACCAGAGCCTTCAATACTAGTAACCTTGGTTGTACGTAATGGATGGGAACAACCTTCACGGATCCAATCATTTGATGGTTCAACTGATCCCCACAGCCCTCTTACTGCGGGTGGTATTGCTCAACGCCAAATGTCAATCAGTCCTTCGGGTCCAGGTATGTCTCCTAGTCCTGTTACTCCTCAAGGTTCTTTCCAGCCATCTTTTGTTGGAAAACCTGAGGAAAGACATCAACAACAGAACTTAGAAGAGCAAAGACGAATTGCTCAAGCGGAAGGTGAAGCTATTGCGTTGAGAATACTAGGTGACTATGCAAGGGCTCCGACAGTTGGTTTCTTAATGCCACAGGCTTATCAAATGAGGGACTTGGAATGGCAGGCTATTAGAAGTATTTTGGAAAGAGACGAGAAGGCGCAGAATGACTTGAAACATCTAAGTGAGGTTCTGGCAAGGACGGGTCCAGCGTGATTATATTACGATGAGGAGGACATGGAAACTGATGTACTGGATCGAAATTTGGTCAATAGAAAGGAGGCAGTCAGGTCGTGGGGTGGATGGGTTTAATTGGCGTTCTTGGCGAAATAAAATGAGGAATCATGGGAGTTTTCCATCGCCATCTTCTTTTACATGTATATTTTTCTTTGCATTCATTCTCTTTCTCTTTCAATTCTTGGCTAAAAAGTACAACTACGTATGGTAGATTGGAATGCAATGATGAGATTTTTTTTTCAGAGCATGCTATATACACTCACTTCGTTCGTATTGTGGTTTGATTCGGCGGATAGTCGTGCATGCAGATGATATTGTCTTGATGCCGAATTGATATGGTTTAATCTCGTTTCCCCTTTCTTTCTCTGTGTTCATGCATGGATCGAGGAGATGGAATGAGATTGTATCGTTGGGGATAACTATTGAGCGCCCTCTTTCGAATAAATAAAATTACCATATGTTGAACGTCTTAACTTTCAGTCGGATGAGTTGACCTATCAGCTTGATTGTCGTGTATGTGTATGATGTTTTGAAATGGATTGGTGGTTAGTACCGCGGATTGTTTCAACTGTTTATATGTACCTGGGTGTGTATGTAGATATACATTTTGAGGGATGTTCAAACTCTGTGGTTCTTTCTTGCCTTGGGGTTTCTGTTTTAATGTTGGATGTGAGGTGTTGCTTTGTTGTTATGGAGATGAAGGTGTAGGTGAAGAATGATCTGAAGTTGAAAATCGGAAGTGGGATGCGAGGGGGGATCGACCAGTAAGATTCACCAGTTTACAGAATAGTGAATGCTTAGCGATGACGAATGCGTGAAGTGCTGTTTTGAAGCTCTTTCGTGTATTACTAGGTATATAAACTCATGGTAAGTAGTATCACAGTTTTTTCCAAGTATAGAATCGGGAAAATTCATAGAAGTGGGCGAAGGATGTTGGGCTAGCAAATTGCTACTATGATTTGGAGTGCTGGGGATGTGAATCTTTTCGTAGAGAAATAGGGGATGCAATGAAGACTTTATTTCTGTTCATTTTTTCGTCTGGTAGGTTGGTTTTTGTTATCATTTGATGGGTGATGATGTGATGACAGTGAAAATCTCTTGCTGTTTCTTTTCATGGGATGGGGGCAGATTCGTAGTTATATCTTTGCTTATTACTTGGATTTTTGTAATACCCGAATTCTATAAACTGGATGCGCACTCACGATTACGGATTCCCTGTCAAAATCCAAGCAGGATGGAGATTCCACATTTTCTTCAAACTTTGCTGTTTTTAGGATATTGTGGAGGAGGGAGTTGGGGTGGTTGAGAGGGGGCTTATATTCCACTTTGATACGAATTCGTATATTGTACTAGTCTTAGCACCGAATGAGTGAACAAATAACTTCATTTTGATTCTCAAGCCTTGAAGATCAGCGGGGTAGAGTGCTGAAGATGTTATTGAGGTGAACACCTCCACTTAATTCCTTCAAATCTGATATCTAGAATTCCATTTCCAGCAATATAAAGATCTCCCTAGACTCTTCTATTTCATGATTGTATATCAAGCAATAAGAACAAGGTAGCCCCCGTTGATAGGCTAGTAAAGTATATACTTTATTTAGCATGAAGTAAAGAATGCTCGCGGGATTCATTACATGACAGTGTGTGATTTGTTTGGTAATCATCGTGTATTTGGATTTGTATTATCACAAGTTTCTTTTTGTCGCTATTAGTGAATAAAAGAAGATGATTAGCACAATAACAGCGACATTAGAGTTGACAGTCATTCATCGCTATCTTTCATTTCACTTCCTTGACTCTCGTCCCCTCTCGAAGAAGAAGCCGGGTTAACCTAGAGATCAAGCGCCAAAGTCTTGGTGTATTTACCGCAGAGTTCCATTCATACATTCTTTGTATTGATTTTACATTGCATAAATGATCTATTAACACTTGGAAGTGGTCGACCTTAAGTACTCCCTGCATTGAAATCCCGCAACAACATCTCCTTTTAATTTTTTGGCCTTTCACTTCACAGACACTGAGCTGAAATCCGCTTATATAAAGAGGTGTTACGAACTATCCTTGAATTCTTCAAACGCTTAAGGAATCAAGATGGACTGTAGCTAGGTCTTGTTTGCTGTGTTGCAAAATCATGTTCTGGTCTTTTTATCTGGTTGAATTTTGAATTCTGGCTATATTGGATCTGGATGTCTGGAGATTTAATCATCTGGTCACGAACTTAGCATTTGACATATGCAAGAATTTCACTGTCGATTTACTTTACTTTACAATCATCAGCATCTATAAGATATACAAGATCTTATCATTTGAATATCTCAGTACATCTCAAGCTACGAGAACATAGATCCAGAATCATCTTTTCTTGTGCTCAACTATATTTCGTCGGGTTGTTCCAGCCTAGTACGATTCTATGTTGGAGCTCGCTTTCTTCAATTTTGGAGTACTCGAGGGTCTTGGAACCTTTGTATTTGAGTAATCTAGAAAACATGTGATGGATTCACTATGAGAGAAGTGATATGTAGATTAATCTCGCATGGTGTCTTAATGGAAGTAGGTATCATGTGTATATAAAATAGTATCGACTACTCTGCGTTTACTTTTTATCAAGAGTGAGCTTCGGCGATTGGACGGGGTGTGTACTTTTGCTGCGGGGTTCCAAGACTGTGGTGTAGAGCAGATAGTATTTTACATTTTAAGAATCTGCGGTTATTGGTATCAGATATCAGAGATGTATTTTCGATGTATCGACGGTGATAACTTGTAGTGGTAATAACCCCTCCTTCCTAATAACAACACGAAGCGAAGAACAACAACACATCCTAGATTCTCGAATCATATACCATCCCACAGTCAATAATCACAAGTAAAAATTACAATTCCGCTGTCAACCAAGCACGCGTCTAGTATAGTTTGATTTTAATTCCCCGAGAAAAAAAGTAGCAAGTCCCGCCCCTTCTCTAGTCGTTAACCTTATGTTTACAGCTTTATAAGAATATTCTATCCTGTAAAATCTGTGTTGGGAGAAAATATATATAAGTTATTATAGACTACGTTTGGAATCTTTTGCTCTACCTCTCTTATATTCTCTGGCTATGGAGTATGTATACTAGATACTTATCAAGTGATTTCCTGGTCATGGATTTACTAACTTATCCCCCTATCCCCTAGACTGCCGGCTTAGGACACCTTAAATGGTCCGTGCACAAGCTCAACCATCAATAATTCAATAAATGATATTATAATTAAAAGCCTTGATAATAAATTCAAAACTTGAAATTTATTAGGAAAATAATAATAAATATATCAAATATATATTTAGGTTTTTTTTATTGAAAAATAATTATAAAATGGATTTAAAGATATTATTATAAACAGTTGATAATTATTATAAAAAAACTCATATTTCGATGATGAGAATTCTCAAATTTCTGATGTTCTGATTGGTCAATAGAGCGAGGTGTCCTCTGTTGGCAGTCTAGGGGATATCACATTCCCATACCAGGTAAAAATCAACCTCGCAAACGACTATATATACCCACCCATTACAACTCAATATTCGAATCAACACCCCAATCCGATGCCAAAAAATCTCCATGGGCTGATGATCATCTCGCAAGATTGCTAACATCAATTTCAACCCCAGACACAAAGGGCTTCCTATCTCATTTCATTCTCACCTTTTAAACTCCATAAATCTGATCACATGCTCATCTAATCTCTCAACAATAGTAACAACAATAACAAAACAAATTCGCGATAATGATCATCACAATTCCTCATAGTATCGTAACATACAGCATAAAACCCAAACCCAAATCAAGAACACAAACTCAGAAAACACACAAACAGCCCCCCACTTCGCGACATCAACTCAGATATATACTCTAGATCTAATCCCTCAATCTTCTAGTATAAAAAGACTATTTTAACCATACATCTAAATAATACTTATCAATTATCTATTCATATATCTAATCCTCCCTATAGCTATACATACATACACATATACACACATACACATACACACACAGGGATGCGAAGACTCAACACCTGTATGCGGTGTATCCTACAAACCTCCAGCTCTCTCTTGAAAGTCTATAGAGCTAAATTAAGTTGTAAATGGAATTGGAAGAATTAAAAGAAAAGAGGTATTAGAGATATAACAAAGAATTATATTACAATTTTATAATAATAATATCTACAAAAAATTAAATACCAGCTTTAGATATAAATATAAAGATTATAGAAGCTCTGGTTAGATTCAACATTTATTATTGATTATTACTTTACAAAAATAAGATACATAATAGATCTCTTCTTTTTAGAAAAGTCTTTTCGATATAAAGCTTGTTATTATCTATTTATACTATAATCCCTTTTTTTATACCCTTTGGCTTTCAGCCACTCGAATATTATGATAATGTCACGGGGTGACACTAAGCCCTTTCTGTCCTGTCCTGTCCTGTCCTGCTATATATGTGAGAGTAAGGTAGAACTTCCAGTTCTACCTCCTAGTCTTTTGGCGTTTAGCTCAGCGGTAAAAGCTTCTGAATACTCCAGAGGTGATCCCGTGACAGATAACACAATACAAAAAATGCTATCGCCTTTAAATTAATATTATATTCTGGGGTATCGATATAATACAATGTTTTTCCTTTTAATTTTCGAATTTTCGAATTTTCTGAATTGATTTGTATATAAACTTAGGGCTCAACTCTGCTCTATTATTATTAACAATTTCGATTATATATATCTAATAAGAACTAGAGAATATCAAGCTTATAAAAATATACAAGAAATTAGTTTAAAAGAGATAAAAATAAAAAAGAGTAGTGTTTTTTATTACTATCTTATTAGTAAAAGAATCCTTTGCTATATTGGAGGTAATTCGAAAGGGGATAACTCTTGCTTTTATAAAAAAAAGGAATAGTAAAATTGGATTTAGGATTGTTAAAAAAAGAGAAATTGGATATTGGGATACTTTAATTGGATTAGGGGAGGGGAAGAGTTAGAAAGAAGTGTTTCAAAGGATAAAGACAATTATCTCTATTTGCACTCCGAATAGAGAATCGGGCTTAGTTCCCCAGCATTCTTTTTACTCCCCCAAATTGAATATATCTACTATAGATATCCAATAGTATTTGCTAGGCCCCTATAGCCTAGCTGTCCTAAATAGTCATGGACTGAAAAAGGACGTTAATAAAATCAATCAATCAATCAATCAACATACACACACACACACACACACACACACACACACACACACACACACACACACTCCAACTTCCCACATCAAATCAAATCAAGATCGCAAATCCTCACATCACATCACATCACATCACATCACATCACATCACATCACATCACATCACATCACAAAATCAATCTTTTCCTATCCACCATCTAGATATTCAACTACCTACCTACCTACCTACCTACCTATTATAATTGAACCCAACTAAATACCCACCCCACCCATCACTAATCAATCACCTGCATAAGCGAGTCGATACGGAGTACATACATACCTACCTAGATATCTCCCAGCGCGACAACTTCAGATAATTTCTAGTGGTTGGGTATCTAGCTATCGAGATGGGAAGCGCTGGGTTTAAGATCACGAATAGAATTCTTTGTATGGTTTAATCAAATTGAATCGTGTCAGACTTTCTGGTGATTCTCGATCTGCGAGAGGTAGGTAAGTATTACACAAGGCTTCTCTTTGTATCAGGGGTGATATGAAAGTCTATTATACATCTATCTATTATTTCACCAGAAATATTTTGTTTCCAGCGCTAAACCTGCTTCTCCGTATAGATGTGTTGACGATGTTTATTCTCACGGGACTCTGATGATCATTTTGACAAAGTATTCGAATATTGAATCTCAATTTTAGATAGAAACCTATTATAAAAACCATTATGCGCTATCTTGATATTCCATTATCACTCTGCCACTCCCGTATAATCTCAAACCATCAGGATAGAATACTCATTCCTCCCCCCTTCTCTTCCCTTCCCTTCTCTTTCATCTAGCAATTAACCCAAAAATGACAGCTCGAATTTCCCCTATATGAAACGATCCTCGTGAAAACTGTTCCATATCGTGCTATGCAGTTTTGTGTCACAATTGGATAGATTCATCCCCATATATGACAGCTATATCCATATTCCGATTCCTCCCCTCTTCCATTCTACTCTCAATGAATCGCGAGAATCTCATACCGCAGCGGCTGTGTAAATTTCTTCCAATCTTCCATATCATCAACTCTTCTTTGGACTCTTGCTACGTCTTTTGCGTATTCAGGGTCGTCAGGGTCGTCAGGGTTTTCAGAGCTCTCGGAGTGCTTGGAGTCTTCGGAGGAAGAGTAATTTCCGCTCCATTTCCTCCATTCCTCTAGCCCCTCTTCGAACCACCCCTCATCATACTCTCCTTCATCATCCAAACTCTCACTCGGAACCCCCAATCCCAATTTCCACCATTCTCTCATCTTCTCAGCATTTGAAGAGCTCTATCTTCCTCTTATTTTCCTTCTCTCTCCGCCATTCAATTCCTCTTTCCCTTCCCTTTCTCAATCTCTTTTTCTTATCGTCATATTCGTATTCATATCTATCATCAAACCTCAATTCAAGACCAAGGATGCACTCCCCCACATACCTAACATGATTCACTCCCACTGTTCCCGTTCCTGTCCCCACTCCACCCACATCTGTTTTCAAAAGAATCATCTCTCCATTCTTTATCTCACACCGTGTAGCTGAGTAACGATCTCGAACCCTTGTCATCTCGTTGAGCAAATTCCCAACAACCGTTTCCATTTTTCTCTTCAAGTTCTCTTCCAACTCCTTTTTCCTATTTCTCTTCCCTCCTCCATCGTTATTCCCCTCATCCTCAAGTTTTGCCAACACTCGTGCTGCTCTCAATAGTGAATTCGCCATCCACAAATAAGCTCTCTTTTTCAAAACAAGAAAACATCTCCTCGTCTCAAAAATCCTCTCGCGCCAAAGAATTCGTCCATCATCCCCACAGTCTACATATTTCTCCATAACCCCCTTTTTCTTCCTCTCAAAAAATGCCTCGAATGTTCTATCCATCTCCGCTCTACCATCATTTTCCTCTTCGGTTTCCTTCTTCTCAATCTGCCGAGCGCCCTTGTCATCGTCATAACCCCGGAAGACATAACACGACCCCTCTTCCTCCTCATCAAACCTCCAAATCTCATCTCCCACTTCCGTCCACATACTCACCAGCGCAATCTCTCTGTTCCTCAAAACCGCAAGCTTCTTCCCTCCGAAAAAATTTCCACTGACATCCGTCATGGCCATTAATATGTATATCCATAATTCTTTCGAGTGGTAGCAATAACGCAACACTTCCAAATAATTTTCCAGTGGCTTTAGATTCGCGGGATTCGCGGTTCCGGAAATCCAATCCAATCTTTTGTAAAATTCCGTCTGGGCGTGTGAATACCGGTGGTCATCAAAGAGCTTTTCCAGATCGTTTGAGATTAAACTATAGGGTGAAGCGTCCGAGGTATTGAACCACGCACAGAAATGTTCACAAACGAGACGAACGAACATTCTCCTATCAGCAAAATGTTCATTCTCTCGAGGAAATCTCATTGCACGCAAGTTCTTGATTTTGTGACACAAAGCGAAAACATCCTCCCTCCTCGGAATCTCATTTTTAACCATTTCCACACAATTTACCTTTGTTCCAATACAGCCCAATACAGCCTTTTCCCCCAAAACGATATGTATATCCCTTATACCATGAATCTCGTTGATTGTCTCCCCTTTCTGCAAACGCCACTTCGCTTCCGTGGAAACTTTATTCGAGGTCCAATCCGGCACCCAAGTCGGCAGATTCCATTTCCTCTCTTCAAAGTTTACATCTTCCACATGCGACAGGAATTCAAAACTAAGCTGTAGACTTAAAAAATACAATGCCAAATCCGTATAAACCTCCGTTGTGGTTTTTCGATAATCAATTTCGATCAATTTTTCGATTTTCGGGTCCTTGCTTTTTGTGTGGTTTGCAAACATGGCGAGATGTCCGTACAACATATCTCTTGGATCGGAGACGCCATATCCACGACGCGAGTGAAGAATCTTAAGCAGATAATGGCATGGGTCGGAGCTCTCCAAGTTCCTCGATACAAAATCTTCGCGTAACGTGCACATCTCGGCTAGAACATCGTAGTTTGGAGTCTTGATGTATGCAGAGTCATACTCAGAATTGGATTCGAAAATGAGGCTTTTGAAGTCTTTCCATTTGAGACGATGAGTTCCCACTTGTACCCAAGGATCACAAGAAATAACTAGTTCTTGAAGAATCCAGATTCTTCTGAACCATGGCATATCTAATACGTGACGAATTAGGTCATGAACTTTCGACTCTATACCTTCCTTCGATTCTAGATCAAATGTGTCGGTATTGTGCGACGCTCGAAAATTAGATAAAAGTCCAGGTTTATTTTGCTTCGTCAATGACGATGATATTGGGCGGAGCAATGATTTAAACATTTCATCGGTTTCTGAGGTTGTTTCTCCAAGGAATATGATAGTGTGACTTGCAACTTCATAAATCACACTCATCAGCCCAACTTGTCTATTCTTTTCTTCGGAGTCAGATTGATTGATACAAATTCCATCTGCCCATATCATTACATCTTTTTTGTTATCTCGTGAATGTCGCAATGCCGAGTCAAGACTTGCGGTAACAAGTAGTGGTTTCTCATCGACTAATATTGTCCTCCTGTTATTTGCGTCTCCCCAGACATAAGAAAGTGCCGAATAATTATCTATGACAGGTTGATTGTAATGGAATAGAGTAGAGTGAATTAAGCTGCATGATAAAGGTGATTTGATGGATAAGGCGGGATGAATGACGATAATGCGAAATGCATCAGGTTCGAGAAGAGGAGTGTATTGATATTGTTGAATATCCTCCATTTTTGGAGATATTGGTGCCAAGTTAGGTTCTTTGGCGATCAGAATTTCTTAAATCTGAGATCTATTTCTAGAATAACCTTCTTTATGTTCTTCAGGTTTGACACGTGGTGTCATAGGAAGAGATATGCACGTAAGATAAATGTGGAGATATTGGTGAGGTGAGATAGGTTGATCGAAATCGTACATATTCATGGATAAAAACAATTAACTGACAAAATCATTCAGACCAATCGTCGATAAAGCATCTGGGAGTTAGACCCATTTCAAAGAAGATATCAGCCTCAAATAGAGAAGATTGCATCGTTCACTAGACGTGATGTCAAAGGGAATGGCGAAAGCTTGCCTGACCTTCAGAGGTGGTGGTCGCATTATCAGGTCTGCTTTAACCATATCTATCATTCCTGTATCATCATCTTGAGCTTCATAAACATCGACTCCGAGTCTATCAACTGAAGATGACATGATTCAGAATCACTGATAATGAACATATCATAGTTTTTTTGCAAGTTCTTGTGATGCAACTTGACTTGGAGTTGCGGCGTAATATAAAGAACTAGATTAATGGTACGGTATTGTACTTGAAATAATGATGGATTGAATAGATTTTTGAATTTTTTATCAGTCAGAATGATGATCTAGCATTGATTTTAAACGGTGTAGAAAGCAGGCTAAACGCATTAGGCGTATTAGGTAATCACTTTGGTTGATATACTCAACTGGATCGTACATAGCTTTCAATAGAATACGCACTACACTTAATACTAATAATCTACCTATTCTACACGTCTTTTCTGGTGTAGAAATTGCAGATTGTGGGATCTGGTGGGATGTCTTGAGATTGAATATCTCAGAGCTGGAGTTCAAAACCATCACGTGATTAATGTAAAATTATTTGGGTTGGCTCTTGTGGCTGTGGCAGTGGCTGTGTTGTGACAGGTAGGTAGCTGGAGATATTAGGTTGAAATTACTTTGTGAAATTACTAGACTAGATAAGACTAATTGAAGCTTTTTCTCAATTGCATATGACATCTTCTTTCTTGAATAGAATTTCTAGTCTGCCTCCACGGCAGTGGCCCCCGGAGGGCCAGCGGAGCGTCATTTTGTTGGAATCATAGTTCGAGTTTATAGAGTTATATAGTTTCAACTCATAAGGGAAACCTCAATCCTTAAGCTATTTAGATATATTGAAGTTTTCCAAGTTTTTTTAGAAATTATTTTTCTATTAACCTTTTTCTTTATATAAAGATATAAAAGTTTGCTATTTCTTTTTCTATTTATTAACCCTAAGTCTCTAGAGGGCTAATAGAATATTATTTCATTGAATTATATAATTCAATATATAAAAGTAATTTTATTTACTTTCTAGTTTTAAATTTATACTCAAAAGTTTTCTAAAGTTCTTAGAATATTTTTTTTTAAATAATTTAAACTTTCAATATATAATATTTTCTATTTCTATTCTAAATATAATAATCTATTACTTTCTTCTCTACTTATCTATCAACTCTAAACCTCTAAAAAAAATCAGTAAAGCTTTGTTTTATTTGAATTATATATTAATATATAAAAAGTTGCCTTACTCAAGCCTTATAACTTAATCGAATACTTGAAACCTTTTAAAGTTTTTTAAAAATGTGTTTTTTAAATAATTCAAATTCTTCAATATACAACAGCATTTTCTATTTCTATTCTAGAATGTAAAAGCCGTCTGCCACCCTCCCTCCCCCGCCGACTAGCCTGGAGCCTCCGGAGGAGCAGCGGAGCGTCACTGCATTTCATTTGAATTATATGGTTTCAATTCGTGGAATTATATGTTACCAATACGATTCGAGATCATGTAGTTATTAACATTCAATTCATGGGGGCAAGCCCCCAAACCCCAGAGCTCGCTGCGCTCGAAGAATTAACTTTTGGGGCTCATTCGAAATTCGGACGATGAGGATCTCCATGGTCCATACGAGCTACGAGGGATTTTTTATTAGTTTCTTTATCGGACATTCGGTACTCTATGCTCTTCGTCATTCTTTACTTCCAATAGAGTTGATGTTTCCCCATTGTTTCACCGTGTGTGCATTTGATAGGTAGATCAATGCACGCTGATATCCAATCCAATTAGTTTGAAGTAATCGCTGTGCTATATAAAGAGGTAGAGAAGTAGAGTGTTTGGAATTGGTTGATTTGTTCTCCAGGTTGCGGTATTGCATGTCTTGAATCTTGACAGCGGATAGCGGACATGTAGAAGAGGATAGGATGGGATAGGATGGTGGTAGTAATAAAGTTTGAAGCTTGAATAAATGGTCAAGACTTTTCGGTGGAATCTCTTCTGAGTGAGTGGACTAGGTGGATTTGGTGGATTTGATGGAACTTTCGGATTTTCTTGAAATTCACGTGGTGATGGAAATTTAATCTATTATGAAATACGGAGTATACGTACGTACATATGTACGATATGTATATCGTATATCGTATATCGTATATCGTATTGCAAGGTTGAGGTTGTATTAGAATACCTAGGAGTAGGCAATCTGTATAAGGAAAGACTGTCTATTTCTATGAAACGAGAGAGAAAGGACAATGAGCATTGAGCAGGGAAAAAGGGGGGAATGGTCTCAATATGGTTCATGCTATCGATTGGTGAACTTTGGAGTCGGGGTGCAGAGAAACGTATCTGATTGGCTAGGGGTAATTAATTAAATTCAAGGCACCAAAGGAATTCGATTGACTGAGAGGGATAGATATGGAGCTCCACTATACCATTTCAGGATAAGTGCATGTGTGATTACCATTTCGACCAATGATCATTTCTCTTTCCCCCAGATTAATAACGGATATCGTTATCCTTATCGAGGAATTTCTTTCTCTTTTTATCTTTTTAATCTTTTCTGTCCCTGGGTTTCGTGCCTTGCAGACTCCACTCTTTCCACTCTCACTGGTTATCTTTGGTTGGGGGGGAATCCTTGAATATTGAAGGAAGTGAAAGGAAGTGAGAGAAGAGAAGTGTGAAATGAGAGAAGAGAAGTGTGAAATGAGAGAAGAGAAGTGTGAAATGAGAGAAGAGAAGTGTGAAATGAGAAGAGAAGTGTGAAATGAGAGTGAAATGAGAGAAGAGAAGTGTGAAATGAGAAGAGAAGTGTGAAATGAGAAGAGAAGTATGAAATGAGAGAAGTGTGAAATGATAAAGTGCACCTGCTCTTTGATCTTCCAATGATAACTCCGTATGCGCGGAATAATCCATTGGGGAATAATTACATTACTGGGAGCGTCACATGAATCACATCAAAATGCTTCATATCAATAAACTAGACGATGAAATGCATCTTTCCATCCATTGATTGTTCATATCGGAATGGCCATTCCAAACTTCTCATCAGAATACTCGATAGATACTTACTACTCCCTTTACTTTGTCCTCAGTTACATCAAACACCAAAAGACATTTTCTTCTTGCTTGGCTTCTTCCCCTGCATTGGTAACTTGACATGATCAGCCACCCAACAGCCACAGAACGGTACGAGCAGACACAGAACACAGACTACCCGCACCCTAAACTTGTCTCACTGCATTACACCACTGCACTGCACTGCACTCCACTCCACTCTTCAATCATCAATCATCGATCCATTCTTTCATTCATTCACTATCCACCACTTACTTCCTTCACTTCCACCCTCACCTCAATCTTTTCCTGGGCAAAGAGATCTTCAAACGCTCAAACGCTCAAACGCTCATACTACGCTCGTACGAACATCTCTCTCGACTTTTGTTCATCACTTCTTTCGCAACTCCTACCTCTCTTCATCCCATCAAACCCTCCGTTTCTACTTACAAAACAGACATCCGAGCTCAGAATCCTCCAGAATAAGATCATTGGAATCGAAGCTGGACTTTGCCACAATTCAATATCTTACACGTTGGATAATTCGAGAGAGGGAGAAAGGAACAAGAGTTGTACACACACACACTCACTCAACATTCGTTCTTGATTGCAATTTTGTCATTCGTTTTTAAAATCACGATTTTATCTCTACAATCACATTTGTACCGCAATTTTTCCTTGACTGAAGAAAGGAAAGAAACTCAATTCCGACCGCCAACTTCCGACCAATTCCTAACGACCCATACCAATTTCGAGGTACCTGTCGAAGGACGATCAAACCCGCGCGCTTCAGAATAACACAATCAGGAAGACATCTCACCAAAAGGAAACAACAATTTCTCTTTCAATTGTATCAATCAAGTCAAGCAATGTCAATTTGATCTTCAATTAAGAAGATTTTGATACCGTCAATTGGCCTGGTTCAATTTAAATCGCATGAATAGTGAATATTCTTGTCGCATTCGCATTCATTTCCACTTTCTCGTGAATTTGTCACAGATCAACAAAATTATGATTCAACAATAGAAACGGCCACTCTTTACCTTTTTATTGTGCTTCCTTGCTCAGCTTTAAGCCACGGTCGACCCGAAAACGTATATCCACAATCCTACTGTCGTTGACGTTTGTACCCGTTACCCGTTTATTCGACCATTACCATCCAAGACTAATCGTTGTCTTACCTTTTTCATATCCGTCCTCGATTGATATCATTCATACGACCAAGTACATGAATACTTACTCGACATATCAATTGTACATCACCCTCACTTAACCTGCACAAGTCGATACTTCGCAGGCGGAGAACGACAAGTGCATCAAATACAACTCTACGTTCATTATATCGAAGGGACTCGCTCATTGCGAAATATCCAACAAAACCTTCAAGGTTACAATTCCTTCTTTTCTAGCCAGGTGCTTCGACATTATATCCATTGTCATCGTGGCAGAGCCAAACGAATTTAATTAAAAGATATACCCTTTACTATTTCAAATATGGGGATTTTTTCAAGACGTGTGAACAAAGACGACCTACGTCCTGAGCAGAAATGGGACTTTATTGTAAGGTTTGGAATGTCGTTGGGAATAGGAATATACTAATTGTTATTCACAGAGTCTTAACGATTTTAAATCCACATCCTGTCTCACTCCTTTCGCATATGCATATCTTTGGATTTCTTTGGTCATCTCTACCGCCGTTTATGGTGTAGATACTTTTACCGCCGTTAACCTTTTAGCTTTCAATCGATGGTCTGGGGAAATTCAACCAATCATTCCTCTCAATGTTTCGAAATGGATCTTTTCTGGATGTATCATTGCTTCTTGGATCAATATTGGATTCGAACATTTACGAGCGTGGAGAGTCATGCGACGAGGAGCTGTTGCCGAAAGTTATTTGGACAATCTTGCTGTTCGACTTGAAAGTATCAAAATGGGACAGACTGGTCGAGGTTGGAGAAGATTCTTGGTCTTTGCCGAATTGACAAAATCTAAAAAGGGGACCGAATATGTTGCGCTATTTACATATTTCGCTTTTCAATGTACGTCGCAAAAGGACCCCCATATTTTCATTACTAACATTTCTAGCTTGGATTCGTGTTGTATTCTGTCAGGGACCTCGTCAAGTCATCAACGCATTAACTCTATACTCAGTGTTTCATGCAAAACTCGATCCTACTGAATCCAATGATGTTGGAGACGCCTTCTTAACCTTTTTCAAGAAGGTTGGAATCCTTGCAGAACAAGAACATCAACAAGCAGTTATCTTGTCCGGTATGATCTTCACACTTGTCATTTGGATCTTTTCCGCATTAAGTCTTATTCTCGCAATCTTGTTCTATTTACTGTTCTTATGGCATTATATTCCAAATCACGATGGTGGACTTACAGGCTATTGCGAGCGAAAGATTAATGAACGTTTGACAAAGATTGTCAGTGCCAAGGTCAACAAGGCTATCGAGGAGGAGGAAAGAAAACGAACCAAAGCAGAACAAAAGGCAGTAAAGAAAGGAGAGAAAGTTTCTGGACGTCAAGCTACTATTCCAGCACTTTTCGATTCGAAAGAAGACGACAAACTTCCGGATATGCCTGTGCTCAATAGAGCAGATACAATGACAACCTTACCACAGTATACATCACGACCAGGTACACCAAGTAGTAATCTTCCACAAACAGCCAGTTTCGAACTTGAGAAATTGGATCAAAAACGACCATTACCTGGAAGATCTGTTACAGGGTCAAGTTATGCTTCGAATGCTCCTCTTATGGGTAATGCAGGTGATATGGGAAGAGTGCCGGACTTACCACCACTTGATACGGATATGCCATTCCCTGCTCCACAAAGAACTAATACTGGAGGATCTCAAGGTAGTCAATGGCAACGTGGTCCACCACAAGGTCCTCCTCAAGGTCCACCAAGAATGCCATCTGCAATGGGTGATCGTGGATTTACAGCAAGTCCATTTTCTTATGCTGATGGACGAAATACACCTGGATTTCCAGGACCACAAAGACAAAATACAATGGATTCTTATGGAAGACCAATTCCTCGATCGCATACACCTATGGGTCCTGGCCCAGCTCCATCAATTGGAAGACGTACACCATTCGATCCTGCTATGCAAAATCCTCAAAATCGTATGATGTCTCCAGCATCAGAATATGGATCAGAATATGGAAGACAAACACCATTCAATCCAGCACTTCAAAATCAAGGTCGACCTTCACCAGCTCCAGGGTCAGAATTTGGAGGGCCAAGACCACCATTCAACTATAATCAACAAGGACGTTCATCACCAGCACCTGGACCTGATTTCAGTCGTAGAACACCATTCGACCCAGCTCTCCAAAACAATGGACGTGCTTCTCCAGCTCCATCAAATATGGGTCAAGGGTATGGGCAGAATACACGAAGTCCGCCATCAACAAATCCAGCTGGGTATAAACCATTCAATCCCAATTCCATCAACCCAACATTAGCATCACCAGTCGAACAAGAAGAACAACACCAACATGGTTTTGATTTCGGTACGGGCACATCGAGTCCACCTCGAGTTAGGAATTTAACGGAACCTATTCCAAGGGCTGCGACTACGGGACCAGAACAAATGAGATCTCATGGAAATCGAAATGAAGATTATGGAGATGAGGAAATGGGATCTATTTCTCCTCCTAGAAGAGCTGCTACGGAAGTTGGTGAATTTAATCCAGATCAAAGAACGAATCAAAATCAAGCTGATCAAAGACATGGCTCGGAATCTGGATCGGGATCGGGATCTGCACCATGGGGAGGTTATAGATGAGAGGTGTTTTTGAATTTAAGGGTTTTGAAGAATTGACAAAGGGCGTTCAATCTGGATTGGATTGTATATTTAAAGCGAAATGCTAATAGGGGGTGTTTAACTTTTAACAGCGATGAATTACATACTTGGTGGTGTTTTGAGGTGGTTCTTTGGTGTTTATAGGAAAGAGGTTTATATTTATTCACTTACGTTCTTTATGAAGATATTTGAAAGGAGAAGATGAGGAAGGGAATATGAGGAAAAATAGATTTATATACCACTTGTGTGTATGGTAGGAAATCTATCGCTCGTGGGGTGGTATCATCTGTGAGAGATGAATTGGGGATGTTTATACGAATTGGTGGATTGATGATAGTAATAAAGAATTATTGAATTGGAAGCGGCGGAACGAATTGATGGTTTCGAAATGAGGTGAGGTGGATACTAGGTAGATAGATAGATATCTATGAGATACCTAATTTGAAAGATGAAATGACCTCGGGATACCTTGATTGAATCTTTTTTGTTTTGTCTCTTTGACTATTCTTTTTTGGAATATCTCTTGATTTACTATGACTAGGGTGGATTTAATCTAGTGGTTAGAGAGAGAGAGATTTTGAATTTGAAGAAAACTTCTCTTATTTTGAGATAAATGTTAAGATACTAACTAAGGTGATTGAGGGGAATGAGGGAGATGAATGAGATGAGATGAGATGAAATATAATAGATAGATATAATGAGTATTTAGGGAGATGGAGTAGATGAATGGATGTAGAAGTCTGAAGTGAGGAGTGGGAAGGAGTGGGAAGTGGAAGTAGGATTTATAGGGTTATGGGAATGGAGGTAAAGATAAAGAGATTGAGGTGAAGATGAAGGGGTATGAAGGATAGGATAGGAATAGAAAGGGGAGTTGAGGGGGGATTTTGTTAGTAGATGGGGTTTGAATTTGAGTTTTGGGTGCTTTATTAGATATGTATATATATATGTACGAGTTTGAAGTTGGGGAAGAGGGGTGGAAAGAAGAGAGTAGATTGATAAGGAATAGAGATTATCTAGATAGTAATTAGAAATTAAAATTAAGAATTAGATACTAGGTATTAAGAATTAAAAATCAAATAGAAAAGTAAAAGAAAAGAGATGAAGAAGAATAGAAAGGAGAGAGAGATGATATAATAATTAGACTATGTAGTGAGTATTTATAGAGTAGATAATTAGTTTTATAGATAAGATAGTTTATAGATTATTTACTTATTAAGTGTTTTATTGAAAGATCTAGAGAAATCTCTATAAGTAAGTAATTCTAGAGCTTGTAATTAATTTTGTATCAATATTATACTCGAGAGTAGATGATATGTTTTATAAATAGTTTATATATATAACGAATAGGAGCTTAAATAAACTATCTATCTTTAGATTATCTATAGATATATGTCACGGGGTGACACTAAGCCCTTTCTATCCTGTTCTATCCTGCTATATATGTGAGAGTAAGGTAGAACTTCTAGTTCTACCTCCTAGTCTTTTGGGTATTTAGCTCAGCGGTAAAGCTTCTGAATACTCCCAGAGGTAATCCCGTGACACCTATCTACCTATCTACTTACTCATCTACTCATTCACCTACTCATATAACAAATAAAATCAAAAACTCATCTATAAAGCTAAATACTTAATTCCAGTAATCAATAATATATAGATTCGAATTCTCATCTAAACATTTCATCTACTCAATTATAGAATTACTATACGACATCGAGGATTAAGTTTTGATATCTTATTATTTATATAAATAGCTGGGACACCAGGGGGGGGGGGGGGGGGGGGGGGGGTAGGTTTTATATCTTTTTCCTATCTACTTCATTCGATTAGGAATTAGATACAGATACAGGCGCATCGCATGGTCTTAGCATAGCTATATAGATCGAATCGATTATGCATTTACTACTACTACTACTATATAAATAGCTTAAATTAATTTAAGTTGATATAATTCAGTCTAGTCTAATACGGAATTATAAATTTTAGTTCAAGTCTAGCTTACTTGAATAAAATAATAACAGAATATAAGATCTAATCTAATATAATCTAATCTAAAAATTTAATAGATCAATTCTTCATTCAATCACTTACTTATATAACAAATAAATCTCTATATATCAAATATATAATCTACTATATAAAAAACCCATGATTATTCTAAAACTCTACTCTTTATTATAAATCAATTATAATCTATGTTCAACAGTTTATTGAATATTATATATATATCTACTTATCTATAATAATATCTTGACTATGCGAAGATAATCTATATTGTCACGGGATCACCTCTGGGAGTATTCAGAAGCTTTACTGCTGAGCTAAATACTCAAAAGACTAGGAGGTAGAACTGGAAGTTCTATTTTACTCTTATATATATAGCAGGACAGAACAGGACAAAAAGGGCTTAGTGTTATCCTGTGATAATAGGTAGGTATTATAGAGTACTTGAGTGTATTCTGAGTACTTAGATATATTCTTATTAAGATGAAGGAAATTTAATTGATATTGAGGGTTGTTATAGTATTTTTTCTTTCTTTCTTCTTGGAATCATTGATTGTTAACTGAGTAGATAGAGGGTTACTTAATTGGAATTTGACGTATGAGTCGTAATAATCATCTTTATTTCAAAATACTTGCGGAATTTCTAAGTGGGGTTCTAAGTAAGGGAATATGTATAGTATGTAGGATTGAATGCGATGAATCTTACTCGAAGCTGATTTGAGAATTTTGTATATTAGATATACTAATACAGGTTGAAGAATTCTAACTGATGTCAGCCTCGGTAAACTCACTAGTTCGAACTATTATAATTCTTCTCGATTACTTAAGATCGCTTCGGGTCGCTTTGTGGTTTGTTTGAGTATTGAGGTATTAAGGGGTAGGTATAGAAATAAGTGTAACATAATGTATTCAAATTAAATCTATCGCTTTTTGAGGTTAAGAATGAAAATTCTAGGAAGATGTTTGTATAGTAGTGTAAAGCTAGATGTATATGTACTCGTGTATCATCAAATAAAACATATCTGAAATGTCTGAATGAAAAATATCTTCAGGAATACCGATACACGCAATTATCCTTCCCCCCCCCCCCAAAAAATCCAAATCCTATCCCGTGCTTCCAATCGAAAATTTTTAAGACATTCATAAATCAACATGTAGATTTCGAAACCGCTCATTGTTCGCGAGATCACTGGAGGTGCGCTTAAAATTAAGCTTTCGTAAATTTCGTAAAGATTTCAGGCTACACTAGTAGCTTTTACCACACAGGCTGTAGTTGCATCTTCATAGCGCTGTTGATCAATTGTCGGAAAATATTCAGCGTGCAGCAAGTGCTGTGGCAAAGGGCAAAAATGACGCATAGTAGGAGAACTTCGATGGTGTTTGAGAACTCCGGAACAAGCATACCGGATCTTTTTGTTGTCCGTGGAAATGCTTGTTCGTAACTAGTGGTTTGCTGAGCTTCCCGTTATCTTTGGGGGTTATGGTTGGTGCTGAAATCATAGCAAGCAATTAGTCGAATAGTCTCAAATCTAATCGAGACCAACTGGTTGAATACTGGTGCTGCTGGTACTGCATTCAATCAGTGTTTTACTGTAATGAAATTTATGACAATAATGTATTTTTTGATATTCCCATAACCCATTTTTCTCATCCACTGACTAGGCACTTAGCCAAGTACCCCCTTTTATCCTCACATCACTCTCCCCCCTCTTCCTCACCACTTCCCTCTCACTATCATTCTCGTAATCCTCTCCTACGAAAACCACCGGCCGTCCATGATCAAACTCTTACTGATCGTTGGCGCTGGACTACTAACTGTTTCTGCTAACTCCAACGTTTGCATATAATCTGCATCATCATGTTAATGGAAATATCGGTTTGAATGCCGATCTTTAGGGCCATGCGCTTCTTGGATGGTAGATAAGTGTTGGGAAGAACGGATACTTTGGCAATTAATTCGGCCATGGACATTTCGATGTTGAGTTTAACGATGTAGGCGAGAGGATGGAATTGCATGTATCTATTTATGGTGTTAGTTTTTAATCTTTACGAGAGATTACAATATGAAAGGGAAAGAGACAAGAGATGCGGGATACTTGAGGACTGGGTTGACTTACACAAAAGAATTTTCCAAACTCATCATTCCGATAATTAACGCATCCATACTCAAGGAAAAAACCACCAATACAGCATTAAACTTAATCAAGGTCTTGTATTTTTGCAAGCCATTGCCCACAAGCTTGCTGTATACCGTTTTCATAAAATAGAAGTTCAATAATGCATCCACCAACAGATAGATACTTTTCTCGCATCGATCCCAAACATCATTGATGTGAATAAATCTTTGTGAAATTTGTAGTCTGGCCGGAATCCAAATGCAATAAACCGAAATATTGATAAGTGTGATGATCACTGCGACGGCAATTTTAAGATGAAGTGCTTTCCTTTTGACGGTGAAGAGAATGCTGATTCGATTTACTATAATCTGGAGGAGAAATTGAACTTGTAATGCCCAGAGAGTGAGGATGCAGAAGAAGAATGCGAAACTACATTGTATTAGAGGGCGATCAACAGGTTGATTGGACGCTGGAAGATATACCTTGGGGGAATAATTTCAGCATCATACAAATGAATCCAACATATGATTGCAAATGCCAGACATACGACGAGTTCAGACCATATCATTACTACATATGGAGTATGAACTCGAGTGATTCCATAACGTTGTCGAACTCGTCTTGTTTGCTTATATGCCGTCCATGCTGTTAACCATCCAAAACCAAGAGTCCATCCAAAAGCAATCGATGCAATGGCTAAGTCAGCGCTTGTCGTAGGGTGGGCCACATAATTTGAAGAGAGTAATGTGAGCATGATAATGATTGATGTCGTGAAGCCTTCACCGAAGCTGGATCATCTCTGGGTGGGGCTCAATCCAATAATGAAATCAAATGAACGCCTAGAACGAAGAAATAATGTAGAAACGAAAGAAGATAATGACAGTAATATAATAGGATTATCTCAGGGTAACGGACGTCGTTCGTAAGTCGTGATACAAGGTCTAAGACTACTTTGTATATAGTTCTTGAATCGAAGTAGAAGTTTCTTTGAGATCTAGTCAGGGACCAGATGTCAAAAGAGATCAGCTAAAACTCTATTACAATCAGGAATCACATAGTGTTTGGTTTCTGGGCGTATGCCATACCTATGAAGACTTTTATGAAACAGGGGCCAGGATGAAGCGACGCTCTGGGCCTTGATTTAAAGTTCACCCAAGGAATATCCAGATCTCTGGGATTCGGATTCTTTTCATTGTTACACCTCTGCCATCCCGGTGCCATATAAACTTTCGTTTCCAGTGCATTGGGTAGCCCCCTTTTTAGGTAGGGATTTCCCCGAAGGCAGATCCCCCGGGAACTTTAACAGGGAATTTTGAGAACATGTCCACTTGAATCTTAGAATATCATGTACCAATTGAAGATTCGTTCATCTGAAAGACAGGCTATCCCAAGAAGTCAATACTTTCAACTCATTCCCAACAACCCATGTGGCGTTGATCGTCGAGTATCTTAATAATCATGGACCGTTTTATGTAAAGAACCACTTTTGACATATTTCAATCATTTCCTCGGGGAAGGCTAGTGAACTGTCTATCACTTCGTAATCTCTCAAATATTGATTGATTCTGATTCTCTACTTTCCATTACCAACAAGCGAGCTGGTTCCAAACAAGGCTGAATGACCTTTCGAGACGTTCTAGGAACAATCTCTTGCAAGTTACATGTTTCAATGTTGACGTTGTGCTAAGGGAAGTTGTAAATTGAACGGTCAATTCTCGTATAAGTCAAGGATGTTTGCTTGCTCGCATTGATAATGGCTTAGCGTATGTGTCGGAGAATTTTTCTAGCTTGCCAAGAGATCAGACTTTGGGCAGAAAGTGGGTTGGTAAACGCCATGACCTTCAAGTCCACACACTGATATATCTCGCACCTTGAGAATTTTGCATGCGATTTGAATGATGAATGGAGATCTAATACTCAATTCTTGAACAATATCGAAATATCATGAAAAATCCTTTACCTCCACTCTATTCAACCATAAGCATAACCGGAGAATGGGATTAACATTGAGCATGGATCGGGTGAAGGCCAATCATTTCTGAAGATCCAAACAAGACTTTCAATTGGGTCAATCCGATAAAGTATAATTCCTTAGTAAGTACAGGCATGATGCTACTTGTACAATCATGCGGAGGTTGACCAGTGTTCCGAGATCACACACATACTTCGTAGATTTCAAAACAGCGTCTCAAGGACTCTACGAGTCTACCTAATGCCTTCGGTGGCAATCTATCGCGTGTTGGCCGACTGGATAAAAAAATTCCATTCTTACACTGAGCCCTCTTTGCTTCTCACTCCCAGTGCAAACAAACATGTTCCAGACGGATCCATACGTCTCCCTTCATGGGATGAAGAGCAGTCAAAAACCATCGCGATAAGTATCTTTTTTGATAACACAAAAATTGCATGGATTGTGAAGCAACACTTCAACCTTGTTACTTGCTGTCGCTCTATATATTTACGGACAATCAAATTGAGCGAGATGTTTGCCGTTCCTCGGTTTTCACTTGAGCCAATAATAACCAAGAGCCGAACTAGAAGCGGAGCTAGCCTGTAAATCAGAATAGCCGAAGTGGTCCAGCCTATACGTAGGAGAAAAAACTCCGGCCTGATGTTTTGATAAGGGTGCATATACCATTATGCAGTGGTCAATTCCGGCCTGTTTTTTCTCCTACGTATAGCCAGCCGCCCCAGAGACGCTACCGGACGGCTCGTAACGTGGACTTCACACTTTTCCAAGGCACCTCTAGTTCTAATTTATTATTTATAACCAACCTTTGTGCCAAGCATTTTGATATTTGGTGGCACAGTTTACCGAGTATTTATTCTGAGGTAAATTGCCAGCTGAATACCGAAAGGGAGCTCGGAGCATAATTTTTAATCTTAAAGTCTTGCATCACACGAGCCGAGATGTTGGATATCGATTTTGACATGTCCCGTAGCTCAACCTTAATCATAAGGTTGGCCAGTCGATGATGTCTCGGATGTCTAAGCAGATATACGGCGCAGCCACTCAAAAGTTGAAGCGAGATTTTTTTATGAATTGGGGTATCCTGGGTAGCATTTTTGCACACAACCTAGGTTTTCATCGACAATGACATATACGAATTCTGCATGGCAATGCTACAATGTCGATGGTAAAATACTCGTCACTGTAAGGATCAACGACTAGAAACGGCTTAGGCTCGGAGTACATTATGAAAATCTAGACTCCGCGACGTACGAAAGCACATTTTACAACCAAGATTTAGATTTCATCTTTTTTTCGTTGTACTCGTAAGAGGATTCAAAGATAATTAACGTAGCGCTTGATTGGTTTATGTGTATTTGGAATTGCGGCCTTTCTCGGCTTTTAGGATGCAAATGTCGAGATCCGTTCACGGTATTGAACCTCATTCTCTCGCGGACATTCCACACTGCTCAAATATGGATTGGAATTTGTAGTGAGCGCTTTTGAAAGCGTTCTGTTATGTTACTTGATGCACATTGTACTAGAGCTTGGAAGCCATCTCTTCGTCTACACCTTCATCATTCCAGAGTCAAATTTCGATCAGTGCAACTGGAGATTAGCTATCCCGTTTCTTTGATTGCATGCCTGTCTAAACTAACCTCCACTTTTGCCATGGGAAGATATAAGTGGTTTATCGCAGAATTAACTTTGATGCTTTGTTACTCTGCCACTTTCCCTGTGCCGTTTCCATATTCCAGATATATTGTACATTGTGCCGAGATTCTTGTGTTTTATTAATCTTTATTGATCCCATTACTCCGTACATAGAACATCTCAGTCCAGTCACACTTGTCGATTTCATCCGAGACAACTGTATGAGACTCCGTTGATATGTATATGTGTACGACGGAAATATCCATGATTCTTATTACAGCCGTGAATATGGCTCATGCCATGTAATCGTTCACCAAACGAGTCTGTTCTTCCCAAATCTAGTCATCAATGGGAAATAAAACGTAGAGGAAAACACATCCACATTCAATACTCCAACACCCCTCTCTATCAAGATTCCTGAAACATAATCTCTCAAAGATGTAGGCCAAGAAGGAGTATCCCAGTATCTGGCTTTCAAACCCTTCCCATTTGCTGCGCTAACTTGTTCACTAATTTTATCTAGCTGTGTTGAACTGAACTTCCATAGCCATAGTCTGCCAATGGCTTTTGACATCGAAACACTAGCATAATAAGAGTTTGTATTATCGTAGAGAGAGTTTTCAATGTCGTTTAAAGGAGCATCGAAGAATATATCGCGGTAGGTGGTGTTGGAAATCAGAAGGTCAAAAGGAGCATTTCCGGAAGCGACAACTATAATTGGCGCCCAAGTGATCCCACTCGAGTTGTTCCAGTGGGTGAGCCAGTTCTTGGCTCGGAGTTTTTCAAGCTGTCGATTTACATATGGCCAAAGATCACCACCATCGGACTTGAAATCCAGGAAAAGTGTAACAGTAGTGTTTGGACTGGATTGAAAGATGCCACTCCAGTCGTTTCCATCTGAATGGGTGGAACCATTATTAAAACTCTTGAGGATGTTAAATAAAGGTTCAATATATAGGCTTTGAAGTGTGCGGTCTTGTGCCAGCGACCATGAGGAATGGCCTACTAAAAGATCGTCGTTCCCAGGTTTTGTTGGAAGATATATGTCTGCTTCTACGCTAGTGCATCCAGCAGCCAAAGCTTCGAAAAGTGGGGCAGTACGCCAATAATCGTTGTGTGAATGACATGCTATAGGTGTAATACCTTCAGTAAAATCTGATTTCCAAGGAGAAAGCAAGCTGATAGAGTCTTCAGGCTTCCGCCAATCATCTACTATGGAACTGACTTTGTTCGAGGGAACTTGAGGTCTATGTCGATGAGGTAGGGTCAGAAGTAAAGATAACCATATCCTAAGAGAGATAGGATTAGAATTTGAGGTCTCCGAGGATCAAGACGTTGAGCAAAAATACTCACAAGGTAGCGATAACTCCGAGCACAATCATGATACCAATGATGCGAAACCATCGTCTCCTTAAACTGAATTTGCCATGATCGTGTTGTCTTTTTTCTTTTCCATTACCGCGGAGTAGGCCTTTCCAACTACCATTGCGATGGCTAAAGCTATCGTCGGATGAACATGAAGAACGATCTTCATTTTCTTTAAGCTCTGAATTTGTTAGTTGTCATAGTTTCTCTCAATATCACTAATATACACACCGAATGGGGGATTTGCCATATTTCTAGCTCAATTGTCAAATATTCTCAGCGATACTGATGTAAAGACGCAACCAAAATTTTACCGAAGAAGAGTTGTACGGAAATTACACTCTAAAAATCATGAAATCTATCGATGTAAAGAAGATCTTCAAAAACATCAACAATAACGAGTTCCTAACGAAAGAAGAGATATGTCTTGCAAGTGATCTCATATTTCTCTCCAGGGTATCAGAAATAGAACTATAGTGCCTGATAATCTTTGTAGTTGTGCCTCTTGACAATGGTGTCACCTTGAAACATGATCTCTACGCAGTTCACCAAACTCCTATAGGATTAATCCTCTCATTCTCATCATCAGCTGCGAAGACTTGGCAAACATAAGCCAAAATTTTGGGGTTGTTGGAAGAGTACAAAATCGAAAAACGGCCTCAAAAGCTCTATTTGAAACAATAAGTAAGCTTATAAGGACCACATATGTTGTATACAATAATTTTCTGACCATCCTCATCATACCAACTTGGATATGGATCTTGACTTGGGGGTTTTTCAATCAACTAGTGTGGCAGTGTGTCTTATGGCGTAAATCCTACCCATCCAATTACGCAAAACTCTGGCTCAGCCTTAAATCCCTCTACGTAAGTTGTGCAACCATGACTTCGATTGACTTTGCCGTGATTACTTGCTTACTCGCTGATAGGAATTTCGGGTAACACTCGCTTAAACAACCGAACTGCGAGGCTGAAACAGGGACTTGTGTAGAAGTACTGTGTGACAATTAATTGATGAATCAAATGATAGGCGTTGATGTATTTGGAAATGAATGGTGCTTAGATACGAAAATTCGTATCAATTTTTACCATCAATGGGGAAAGATCATAGTTCGATATATGTCATCAGGTATTCTTGGATTTGACAAATGTATCTGGATGGACTTTAGGTCACAAAAACTATTCTGACATTGGAATATACATGAAGAAATCATTAACCCGGGATTTGGTTATTAATGTCACGATGTTCTCGCAAATGAAGACAGAAAATCGAAAGCTACATAGTAGAAGGAAAATGAGAGTTCAAGACCAAAATTAATGTGTAAATTTGTTGAATAAGTCAAATTGAAGTAAGGATAACCGATACATAAACGAGCAACCAAGAAAAGAAAGCGAAGTCTATATTGAAGCCACCCAAACTGTTCATAACCGCCCTAAGAAACCCTATGTGCCGTAACACACTGAAATATACTCTCTCTACCCCACACACCTACAGAAACACAGACTAGACAATATCTACCGACCATAGACTCCCAAAGTATATCCATGAGCATTCAAGCCTTCCACTCGATAGCAACTGCTCTCTCAACTAAGTCCTCTTCGTTCAAGTCCTCTTCGTTCAAGTCCTCTCCAGTCAAGTCCTCTTCAGTGAAGTCCTCTTCAGTGAAGTCCTCTTCAGTCAAGTCGTCTTCAATCTCGTCTCTCTTGCTAGCAGGTGCACCAGTCCCAGTACAGTAATCATCATTCTTATCGCCACCAACGCAACCGGCGGCGCAGAATTCGAGGAGCTTGATATCTCCGTGCTCAATGCAGGCCCAAAGGGATTGCTTTACATACAGGTCTGAGGTCGGAAGGTTGTTTGCGAGTAGATTGGTGTTGATCTTGGTGATGTAGTCGCCTGTTTGGAAAAGTGTTAGTGTGAATAGTTTGATTTCTAGGACTGTAGATAATTTTTCTAGTGATAGATGATGATAGAAATTGTCACTGACCTCTTTTGAGAAGGTAGGTACCACAGTAGATACCACCGGAGTTGCAGCTCTTAGCAGCGACAATGCTAGAGAGCGCGGAAGCAAGGACGATAGTGATAGTAGATAATTGAACCATTTTGAAAATCTGGGATATGAAGATAGTGTTTGGAGTGAAAATTGGTTGCTGATTTTGTGTTTTGCGTTGGATTTGCAAGAGAAATGTTTTTATTGTTGATGATGAGGATAGAAATCGATCATCAGTGAAAAAAAGTCTCTTATATATCTCTGCAGTGCAGTCGCCAAGCATAGATTTAGGTCAAGAAGATGATTGTCAAGCCTCAATGTCCAGGAACACAACCAAACTGGCTTGAATCCTATCAAGGGCTCGTCATTCACGGGAGCATAGAATGAAACGTGCAACTATCAGTTCATCTTGGCAGTGATAGAAGTAATATTACATTAACGTGATTGTAGTCCCAGAATGACATGGTTTTTCCACCTCAGAGGATTTGCTCAAGGCCATAAGGGTGAAAATACTAACACTTACACCCACGCAGGTAAGTTGTATCTCATTTATCTGAGATCTTCACAGTGACTTGGGTAATGAGGTACGATTCAGCTATAGCAAATACACTGAGGTGTTTCGACGAAGCTAGGTAATGATAGCTCAATACATGCAAATGAGCCATTTGAATTGTGGTCGCTTATTGCTAGGTAAACTATGATCTGGACGCCCCTTCCATTTCATACGTTCATTTCACTGATCTCTTGAAGCCAGGGGTTCGATATATTCCTTCAATGAACTTTCAATAAGATTCGAATCAAAAATAATTACAATAAGGGAGACAAATTTCTCAAGTGAGCTTCCCTCTTACGAATTCTAATGGCATGACACTTGTAGCATTACTACTGTAACTTTATTTGAAAAGCGTTTTTATCGCGTTTTTCTTCAACTACTTTAGTGACTAATGTTGAAGTAAAGCTCAACTTAGTCAAGATGGATTACTAGATGACTCGAAATTTCAGCTGAATGGAGGATTCGCATATTTTACATTTAATGCATTGCGACACTGCTATTATTATTCAATTCTCTTCCACATGATGAATCCCCCACGAGCAAACCGTGCCTCTTCCATTTGACAAGTAAACTTCAGGTTTACCATGATTATATTGTTTTGGAACGAGGAAAGATATTCAGGAGAGTAATCTTATGGCATTGTAGGTAGAGGCGTTGAATATGTCATTTTCAATCAGTTCTTCAGAAAATATACCGTGAGTTTCAATAAGTACGACTCGTCTATTCTCCAGGATACTCGAGATACACCGTGAGGCCTTGGCGTAAGCCATCCAAGGGGCACAGCACGTCTTATCGTGGGACAATCCGTTATGGCCAGCCGTCATGTTTACGCAGTACGGCATAAATGCCTGTTTGTATCTACTCGGTAAGCTTACGTGGCGTCATGATCTACAGCCTCCACAATCTCACGAACTTTCGAAAGTAGCATTTTTCTGCGCCTCATGTCTTAAATTCATCGAATTTTGTAAATATGAAACTTGGGAGTAACTAGCTTGCAGAGGACTGCCTATTCTTAAAATTATAAGGCGATTTTGGAAAGTTCGTAAAATTTGAAGTCCAAGTTATATGTCATGACGGATTCTCCGATGAAACTTTGATTCCGAATTCAACCAATGTTAGTCTAGTCTACAGTTTCAATACTCGGAGATAGCTGGAAATAGCTTCCCACGAGCTTTGTCGTTTTGCACCGCCGATGGAAATTTCACACATTAATCGTTGATTTCCTCCTTTCGAAATTTCCGTCTATCCCTCTAGAAGACGAAGTTATCCGAGCAGCCGTTTACGCACCATCCACAGAACTCTTTTCAGTTCTTCTTTCCAACGATCCAGCATGCATCAATCGCCAATTTGACAAACGGGGTACGCCCATCGCATTAGCTTGTATGACTAAACAATCGCTTGAGTTTTTGTAGATCTTGTTGAAGGCAGACGCCGATCCAGCTCAGAACCCAGATTGTGCTTTTCCTCCGTTGCTAAGCGTAGCAGAAGCGTGGAGGACTTTGATCTGGCGATCGAGGCAGTGTTGAAGTGGAGAAATGAGTCCATGTTGCACTTTGTCATAGAACGCGCAGGGGAATATAATGCGAGAAAGTAGAAAAAAAAATGATTAAGAGGTCGCTCGTTTTCTTCTTCGCATCAAAATCGAAGAACACATAAATCCCATCTAAATCACATATAACTATCCAATAAATATATTATGGCCCAGAATATGAATGAATTGAACAAATTGGTCAACAATTAATCTCCCTAACTTTATGGAAAGATGACCTCCCGAGTCGGAGAAAAGCTGTCGTTTCACGTGACCTGTGAGAATTCACGGAAACAGGGGGGTGGATCTGCACTAGGTAAGATCTTATTTTATCGATAAGGTTACCCTTTATCGAATCATACCGGAGCTCAACTATACATCCAGATGGAACTCATTTAGAACCCTGACATGCTCTGACTAAAAATCAACCAATAAGTGCCCTCGAGTCAAGTATTGCCTACGTTCTATTGGTCATATCGCGGTTCATGTTCTTCATCACGACGTTTTCTGTCACGCTTTGTAGAACTAGATGCAGATACTTGTGAGACACTATATCTTGCTTTCAACGAATTTTAGTCGTATTTCCCCTACTCCATATGGTTCCGAGATGTATGGCCATGGCTATAAAGATAGGAGTCGGTCTCTAATCGATGACTTCTCTCTTCTCATCTATTCAGCATCTACTCACAATATCACGCAACTAAATTTACTAAAAATACAATCATGGCTCATCAGATCTCAACAGTTAGCATTTGTGTTGCACTTGGTATTTCTTTAGCAACAGCCTCTGTTCTGCCAAAGGATATTCAAGTTAGTAATTCGACCAAACAATGGACGTTCGATGAAGTGTGTACATCCCATGACCCCTTCCCCAGCCAGAAAAGACTACCATGCAAAGCCTACTAATTTATCATCTTCTAGATTCCAGCTTCAATTGATCTCATCTGGTATCCATGCTTTTGGGACTATTCCTGCGCCATGCTGAAGGTGAACAACCCCCTAAGAACAAAATTCTGACTGCCGGAAGTTGACATTCTAAACTGCAGGTTCCTCTTGATTATTCCAAGCCAAACGGAACACGCGCTTCCGTTCCATTAATCAAGATAGCCGCCCAGAGTAATTCAACTGATGGCGAATATCAAGGAATGCTCCTCACTAATCCAGGTATCCTTCTTATTCCTTTTATCTTCTCTTTTTACTTCATAACTGATATTCAAATTTTCTAGGTGGTCCAGGTAATGCAGGTGTTGATTTTCTCCTCGAAGATGGATACTCAGTTCTACTTCCGGTAGTAGGAACAAACTATGACATTGTAGCTTTTGACCCCAGAGGAATGGGTCGTAGTATTCCGCTCGCAGATTGCTCATCTTCCAGTTCATCCAAACTTCGTCAACGGTATTTCGGGCTTTCGGGACCGGAATTGGATACTTCCTATTGGACTGAGGAGTTTCAAACTGCATTGGGCTTTGGAGCGGAATGTAATGCAACAATGGGAGGACCTGATGAGGCTGGGCCACATATGTCTACAGCGGTTCTTGCTACAGATATGCTTAGTATTATTGATGCTTTTGCCAAGACAGAACGTGGTCAAGGTGTTAGCTCGTCATCTTTGCTCAACTATTGGGGTTTTAGTTATGGATCCTTCATTGGTGAAACATTTGCGTCGATGTACCCAGACCGAGTTGGCCGTGTTGCAATTGATGGTATGTTGGATGTAAGCTTCCAGATTCCCAGCACTAATTTATTCCAGGTGTTGTCGATCCTGAGGATTATATTTCCGGAACGGAACTGAAGGACATTTACCTGGAGGATGCTGTTATTAACTCCTTCTTCACATATTGTCATTTGGCCGGTCCCTCAATCTGTGATTTCTACACAGGTAACAGCTCTGAAGATATCCGTGCTCGCTTCGAAAACATCTTCATTCCACTCAACGCATCATACGCTTTCTCCCAAAACTGGACAAACGCAACCACCATTCAAGAATCTCTAGAATCCATCAAATCCACAGTCAGATTGACAGCCTATACACCTATCAAATCTTTTCCCATACTCGCTACTCAGCTCATCGCGTACGAAGCGACTCTTTCAAATTTGACCATCGCCGCAATCGAAGCTGCAAGTAATATTGGCACCACAACAGCCAATATTGCAGGTACTGTTCCTCAACTAACCGAATGGTTTATTGGTGCATTCTGTGGTGAAATTCCTTCAGTTTATGGAAAGACATACGAAGAACTCCAATCACATATCGACACAATTGAAGAGGAAAGCTTCTTGGCTGGAGAAATATGGGCCACGACTCTAGTGCTATGTTCAGGATGGCCTATCACTGCATCTTGGAGATTTGCTGGTAAGTTTAAGTGCCACAGTTAATCATTTTTGACTGATCATCATAGGTCCCTTTGGTGGTGACACAAATAATCCGATTTTGTTCATCAGTAATACTCTCGATCCAGCCACCCCTATTGGAAAGTAAGTCCACTCTTCTCCTCTGGGATCGTTACCAGATTGACCAGTACCTTTTTACAGTAGTCAAAAATGGGCACCAAGATTCAAAGATGCTCAAATACTCACTATAGAAGCAATCGGTGTAAGTACCTCCATATCTTCTCCGTGCTAGCTTCCTCTAATTGGTATAGCACACTTCGAAGGCGGCCAACAATTCTTGTGCAAATGAGAAGATTTATCGTTTCTTTCAAACTGGTAACCTACCAGGCCATAATTCAAGATGTATTGTAGAAGCTGGGCCTTTTGGGGTTACTCCCGAGAATTCAGTTGTTATTGAAGAAGACTTTTAAAAGACACTTGCGAGGTTACCATTGGGAAATTTTCATCTTTTTTGATAGTTGATCCGAGCCCCCATTCAGAGCTTCAAAATTGGGGAAAAGAATCAAGAGCGACCACCTCCTTGTCTTTTCACAGTAGTGTACTCCGACAGAGTAGGGGAGTGAAAACCCTTCTTTATCTATTACGTCGACATTGGCATTTCAGGTCACTTCGTCATGTTCTTCTAACCTCTGTGATATTTCCAAAATAATTGATCTTGTCATCTAAATTTGATAAAACTGATTTAATATGTTCTAAAACTATGGTTTTCTCCATTTCCAACGCAACATTTGAATTTGATGTAATTACTAGGTAGTATCACTGTAGGAGACCGAACAATTTAGCATATTTAATGGTTCAAAGTAACATTCAAAGTCTCTTGGAATATCCGATGCCAAATTGTGCTCTTATATAGTTAAACATAATGTGTTTGCTAGATTTGTGATGCCAATTCTAGTTTTGCGGTATATCATGATGCGAAATGCTGCACTAGCAGTACACCACCTGACCAGTAGCAACATAAATTCGCTTCACTTTATGATACATCTTACCTGTTGTTCAAGAGTCTGGCCCATTTTCAGGTGAAATTGCTGATAATATAAATACTACTCTTTTCATCACGAAAATATTATCTCAAAAATCCAGCACCAGGATGTGTATTCCACAAATCTACAATTCCGAATAGCTCATCACCTATCCACACCCACAATCATATCCAGTACTCGCCCAGGCAAGTCTCCTCACTTCGCCTCGATATCTCTTAGAAATCCCACTGATATCCACATCCACTCGTACTAGCATATCCCTGAATCCTCAGCTCCGCATCCGCGATCGCTTTATCCCTCTCAGAACAATTGCTATAGACCTCCTTATGCTGTACACACACACAATCCCTATAATCGAAAATCTTCGGAGTAAAAGGCAGCGTGGTCCTACAATACCCGGTGAGACGAACACGATTAGAAGTTCGCTCCAATCTCTCTCTATCCTTGTCCACCACCCTAGCGCTCTCCCCTCCAGTATCACCATCACCCCTCCATCCCCCACCCTCTCCACTCAAGCCCCCATACCCTCTAATCCACCCAACGCAACCTTCTCAATACTATCCCAGAAACCAAAGATTCCCGTCAGGAAAAAGGGCGCAAGATGTGCTCCCCCCAAAAGATGCACATCCTCTCCTAAATGTCCCTTCGCCAACTCTCTATTCATATATCTCCACCACCTCGCACCTCTCTCCCACTTCTCACTCGCAATTTCATCCTCCGTCTTCGCAATCTTCGGCAATATCGGCTTATGAAAGGGTTCCATCACATAGAGTCCCGTTTCGGCACTCTTGACTTCCATTTCGTAATCCTCGCATCGAAATGCATCATCTCCTTTGCCTATCGCCTTGAAAATCGTGTCCCATGGACTTCCAGCTCTGTTTGGAGAACATATCGGAATGTTCTTGTTGGAGAGCGAGAACGAAGAGATGGTATTGGGTCATGAGTCTTATGTCGGCGTAGGGTTTGTTGAGAAAGAGTGCATGGGTGCAATCGGAGGGGTCGTAGACACCGATTCTGCAGGCGTTTTCGGGAAGGGAAAGGAAATTGCGGATTTGGAGAAGGGCGATCTGGATGTGTTGTTGAATGGAGGTGGGATCTCTGGAATAAGCTAACACGGCGAGAATGAGATGTGTGTGAGCGATGACTGATTGGTGGTCAGTAGGTTGAGAAGTGAGAAAACGGGCATTGGAAGAATATTCGATGCGACGGAATGGAGAACAAAATCAACAAAGATAGTAATGGATGGATAGAATGATGAATCAAAGCTTTCATTAATATAAACAAACTATATAACTCACAAAAATATCCACGTTCCTCAATTTGAAAAAGCAAATCATTACATTTCTCATAGCAAATCGCTGCTTGTTGTGTATCACCTGAGAGCTTATATGCGGCGTTGATCTGATGCGTCGATTAGTATTACTATCATGGATTCCACTTGCTCATCTCAGACCGACAAATATTAGATAGATCGAAAAGTCGAGATGAAAGAACAGATATGAATAGCTGATGGAAAACTTACTTCTTCAACCATGCCGATATAGTTGATCACAGGCCATTGCGTCTGCATTCTGAGTATTGTAAGCAAAGATATGCGCTTTGAATGGATGCGAGACGGCGCTTGTCTTTAGAGAAGCCCAAAAAAAATTACTGTCAGGGTGTTTGAAAATTATTCTGGAAGAGAAATGGATGATCTATTTCTCAAAAGCAAGTAGATGAGCGAGTATGTGATTTCCGGGCAATAAATAGAATTGGTAGCCTTGTATGTACGGAAGCATTATTACGAAGACTTGAGTGAATCAACCGTATGCCTTATTGAAGAGGGGTGGTCAACCAATGTGTAAATCGTGGAAGTGAATATTCACACAAGACGGGAACAACTGATTCGAAGATTGAGAAACATCAGACGAGAGTCCCTATGCTTAACGAAACACGTCGTCTTTTCTTGAATGTCAACTTCAGTGGCTCTAGTATCAACAGGATTCTTGCCTTGTCCTTCCTGATCAATCCTCCCATGAAATTTCAATGCCCTAATATCATCTTTCTCTCTCCCTATCTTCGCTTAGTTCTGTAATACAACTTCTACCCTCTTGCAAGTCTCCTCCACCACTCAAAGACAGACTTTCGTTTCACTTTTCTTCCCGACCTTTATCGAGTATGGAAAGTAATCACGTTCAAAATATAGCAGAATGATGAGAGGATAGAAAGTAGAAAGTCAACCAATTTCCAGGCAATTTTTCCTCTCTGGAGCATCAAGGATACCCGCTATGAGATTAGAAGAGGAAAGGAAGTAGAAATGAGGGGAGGTTGGTGAGACAGGACAATATAACAGCGATTATAAACTGGCACCAAGTATTGTAATGAGATTTATTGTGTTTTTCATTTCTGTTGTAAACTCTGATATCTAAAACAAATCGTACCAAGGCTATGTTCATACTTATATGAGACATTGATTTACTTATGTGTAATTCCTTCCACAGGAATTCTGTCGGCACCTGCTTCCTCCACAACAGTATGGACATTTACTTCCTCCTTCATGAATGGGAAGGTCAAAACCTCCTTAATACTGTAGTTATCGGTTAAGAACATGACCAAACGATCAATTCCCATACCCCAACCAGCTGTTGGTGGTAAACCAAACTCTAGTGCTCTGACGAAGTTCTCATCGATCAATTGAGCTTCATCGTCACCTTGATCCTTTTGTCTAGCTTGCTCTTCGAATCTGAGACGTTGCTCAAATGGATCATTCAACTCAGTATACGCGTTGACAATCTCCTTCTTGCAAACAAATGCCTCAAAACGTTCACACAAACCAGGCTTGCTACGGTGGTGCTTAGCAAGTGGTGACATCATCTTTGGGTGCTCAGTGATGAAAGTTGGGTTAATGCAGGTTTCTTCGATGAATTCACCAACAAGTTTATCAAGCATACGGGCATTTGTGAGAGGAGGCGAGCATTCAACCTTCATCTTCTTGAGAACTCTCTTGAAAAACTCATTAGATTCGTCGGTGTGCAACTCATCCGCAGGTGGGAACTTCTCTCCGGTTGCTTCCTCGAGAGCTGGAATCATCTCAATACGCTTCCAAGGGGCAGCCCAGTTGACTTCATACTCTTCTCCGTGTTGAGTGTGGAACTTGGTAGTTGTGCCTCCAGTAATGTGCTTAACAAGACCAGAAACCAACTCTTCGGTCATATCCATGGTATCATAAACATCGGCATATGCCATATAGAACTCACAGGTTGTGAATTCGGGATTGTGTGTAAGATCGATACCTTCGTTACGGAATTGACGACCCATCTCGTAAACACGGTTCATACCACCAACGACAAGCATCTTAAGGTAAAGTTCTGGAGCAATACGCATGAACATATCCATGTTAAGGTCATTGTGGTGAGTCTTAAATGGCTTAGCTGTGGCACCTCCAGCAATTGAATTCATCATTGGAGTCTCCACTTCCTTGAAATCTCTCGAGTTGAAGTAATTGCGAATATATGCAGTTATGTCGGAACGAGTCATAAGAACCTTTCGGCTAGTGTCATTCATGATCAAATCAAGATACCTCTGGCGATGTCTCTTTTCGTGATCTTTGAATCCGTAGTACTCGTCTGGAAGTTGTTGTACACAAGGGGTGAGCAAAATAATCTCTGTCGCAAAGATCGAAAGTTCTCCCTCTTCTCCCTTCTCAATCTTGTTCTTTGGTGCAGTTCGTCCTGGGTATCCAACAATACCAATAACATCTCCACGACGTAAAGGTTCATGCTGGCTTTCAAACGCTGGGGCTCCTTCTCTAGACTCCTGAAGTTGGCACATAACTTGAATCTTGGTATCCTCAGACTTGACATCGTAGAAGACAAGCTTATTTCCCGAAGCACGCTTGTTGTAGATTCTAGCTCCGAGGCGGATCTCCACGTCTTTCTTGTGTTCTCCTGACTTCAAATGACCGAAATCCTTGGCGAAGTTCTGCAAGTTATAGTTCTGCTGGAATTTGTGTACATATGGGTCGGGGGAGTTGGCTTCTTGCTTGTTGTATGCTGCTTGCATCTTCTTGATTTGTCGCGAACGGATCTCGAAGTATTGCTATGAATCAATTGTCAGTCAACATTCAAAATTGAAACCCCGAGAGATAAATACTCTTGGATCCAGATCCTTTTCCTCGGCTTCAGCGTTACTCTTTTTGACCGCGGCTGGTCTTGCTGGAAGAGCAGCAGCTTTCTTTGCCTTTTCTTCTTCCTTTTGTCTCTGCTTTTGTCTCTTCTTCAATTCGGTCTTGGAGACCACCTCTCCAGTGACCTCATCGAGTAGCTTAGCTACGCTTTCCGTTGGTACCGACATGATTGCGGTTTATACAATTGTGTTGTGAATGAACAAAACAATGGTAAAAAGGTTAAAGGGAGGTCGTCAATTTATTTACAAAAATTATGGTGGGATGAGTTTGGCGGGGTTGACTCACTGCTAGTGTGACTCGCTAGCGTGTGGACGTGAATCCAATTTATAGCGGCGGGATGAACCACAAGCTAAAGTGGCATTAAATAACAAAAAGATCGATCGGTCCATCGGGCTGATCTAGCTAATTTAAGTTACATGATGGAGAATTGTTATAGCGGCATCGTGGCTGGTGGTTAATGGCTACGGCGGCTCTAGATAATATATCCAGTTTGAATAAGATCGTAGATCAAATTTATTTACTCACTCACACCTTGATGTATAAATATGATAAGGGCGACATCAGTATCAAAATCTAGCTCCCCTTTCGAAATTCACGATTAATCAGATTACCATTATCTGAAGACAATATTTTGGAATGTGTTTCTCAGGCTTGATTGGGGAGTATATGATTGAAGATGCCGATTTGATTAGTATCTGTTCAACAGATATAGACAACAAAACCAACGAGCACGGTTAAAGCAAAGTCTCTTAGCTATGTAATTATACACAATTTCGAAACATAGATCATTTCAATCGTCAGTCCAAAGCAACTTGGAGTATTATGACTGTTTTATAGCTTCAATGTCAAGCTCTAGTACAGGCTATCTTAATCCTTCTAACATCGAGAGTCATGTAAAAATACAACCAAGTATGAGTAATACCAAGAGTCAAGATGGAGAGAGTCATCTTGAGATTTTGGCCAAGACTCAAATTTACCCTCCTCATCTCTCCCCTCGAGGAGAAATGAAGCTCGCCTTTCCGCTCTCTCTTTCCTACCTCTATGGTAAGACCATACTATTCTGTTATTGTAAGAACAAGCACCCAGAAATCTTTTGCTCTTTTGATATCATATACCTCGATTTATGGATAAATGTAAATATATCAATAGTATCACCTAAAAGATATCTAAAGTACAAGCTAGCCATTCGCCTGATTTCATGGGTATCGCGCGCTGGATGAATGAACCATATTCCCAAAACAAAAACGTACCCATTTGTAAGACAAACCCACCCCTCATTCCTACCCTTCACATTACATACCACGCCTCTGTATGATATGTCCTACACCTCGGACCATAATTGCTATTACATCCTCCCTATAGCTCACTGCAACACACGCTTCCACTCCCTGACATTTACCCAACTCCACTCATTGATCAATCTCGCTAAGGTTTCTCAAGAACTTAATCCTCGCATGAATTCTCTCATCACCATGTTTTTCCCTAACTCTCTCGTACTCTTTGCCTTTTCTCCTCTCTAACGCATCATCATCTCTTTTAGTCCAGACTCCTGCTAAATCGTCCGGTATCCCGTGTCCCATTTGCAATTGGTTCATAACCGGACTTGCAATATCAAAGTCATAAGTTGATGCCATTAGAGCGTCGTAGATAATATCTTGGGAATAGCCAAGGTCAATGTATTTAGCGAACTCAATATCAACAATGTCCTGTGAATCTGCTTCTACTTCCGCTTCCGACTCTGCAGATGAATCTCGAGATAAGTCAATAATGGGGCCTGGGGTCCTTTTCCTCCGGACTGGAGTTGGAGATACTGTTGGGGATTGATTATCAATGTCTGGGTAATAGAAATCTTGCGTCTCTGGCTCGATTGTGAGGGTTTTTGCTGAAGCTTTCCGAATTAATTCTCGTGGTTTCTTTTGCTGAATACGAAGAATTCTTTCTCGAGCTTCACGATCGCTATCATCCTCACTGCTACCACCATTATCATTCTCGTTAATTTGGTATTTGAGCGGCGATATATGACGGGGTGGCTGTGTAGCATTGAAAATATGTTCTGGAGTCGATGGAATCTCTACCTCTTTACCTTTACCCTTATCGGCCCTAACACGCTTAGCTTTACGCTTAGAATTTATTGCTGAAGATTCGCTAAGGTTGGATAATCCATCGGAGTCAATCGCACGCTTCTTGGTTGACATAGTTGAAAATTGCTTAGAATTTTTTAATGGTGGTAGTTCAATAACTTCATCGTCATCCTCTACATCCCTTTCGTGATCAGAGGGTCTTTGAACACTGCGTGTAGTTGTATCAGCAAGCTGTGAGGCTATCAAAGTCTCATCTTGCGAGGCCGCGAACATAAGGATACTCTGCGGATCACTTTCTTCTTCGGTTACGACTCTTTCGAATTCGGATAGAATTTCATCATAACAGCTCTTCAAATCTTGCGCAGCCTTGGAACGGTTGGCAATAGGGAAGCTTAATCTATCAGCTACCTCTTGCCATCGACTTTCTGCGTTTATCGTTTCAAAGCCACCAAATACTATAACGATTTGCCAAAGTCTGAAGAGAGAAATTTGTTTTCCACGAATTCTTGGATTAAAAATTGGTTCTTCTTCATCCTCTTCACAGAATTGTTTTAGGGTTAGCGTGAAGTAGTCCTCTTCGGTCGTCAGCGATTTCATAAAAGGTCTTTGTTCCAAATCAAATTCCTGCGGTGCTGCCTCTGGCGTCTTTGGTTCTTGATCGACTTTTGCTTTAGCATTGCGAGAAGGTGTAACAGAAATTCGAGCAGTGGCTATTACCAAGGCTTCTTTAGACTGTGGCGTAGAATGCTTCGTTTTTGTGGTTACTTCTGGTGTGCTTAATTTTGGATCACCTCTTGATTTAAGGTTGCCAGAGGACGCAACCGAGCTTCCAATAGCAGTTTCTGGTGAGGGTTTCTTCTGTTTGTAGATAGAATGCTTTGTTCGTGTCGAGACTTCAGGTGTCTCTGGTTTTGGATCAACTCTTGATTCTGCATTGCGAGCCGTAGCGGAGCTTCTGGCAGTAGTTTTCACTGAGGTTCTCTCCGGCTTTTTGGTAGAATTATTCGTTTGCGCGGAATCTTTGGTACTTCTACCACTTGAGGGATCAGAAACTTGCCGAATCGATGGAGATGATACAGACTTGACAGTTGACTCTGTCTTCTTTTTCCTATTTTTCATCTCTCGGGGGCGAAAGTCTTCATGGAAATAGTTTTCGCCATTCTTGAGCAGGATGACGCCCATTCTGAGAATCTTCATATGAGCGGGATTTCGTATAGATTAACAGATGTCAAGCTTACCCTTTCAGTCCACAGCTCCCAAGCCTCAATTTCTTTGGATGAATCTAGGTTGCAAATAGACTCAAACTCTTCTCGTAAGAGATCATCATCCTCTCTTGTAAAAAGTCCTCCAGCCACGGGTTTTTCTATCCTCGTCTCGGGGGATGAGACCTTTGAGACTATTGGTCGAGGTGGTTGAGGCGGCGGTCGAGAGCTCGTGTGTTTTGGCGGAGCTGACGAGGCAGGAACCGGGACTGTTCCACCCGGCACCGCGGACTGTGCGCGTTCATGAGAAACTCTTGTTGCAACAGGCTTAGCTAGCCCCTTGCCAGCAGATTTTGTTTCCCTGCTGGGACATGGTAAATTGTCATCGCGCTTATAATGTAGGTTCCCTGCCTCATAACTGGGCAGAAGATGCCTCTTCCAATGATCTAGCCAGGATTGATATGTATGATGAGGATACTGCGATAAAGATTAATCTAGATTCAATGTAAATTATCTGAATATCAGGAAAAAGTTTCCATACTCGTTCTGCTAATTCCTTGTATAATTCGTTACCCTTGGTAGATCGTCCCAAACGCTCTCCCTCCAAGACCCATTGGGTCAATATTCGATCATCCTCAGCTGTAAAAGGTGTGCGCGTAGATTTTGCGGGTTGTGCATATACTCGTTCTGATGCTCGTTCTGATGCACCACATCGATATTCTTCCATGCCCACCAATTTCCCAGCCTTCGCAGAATCTTCAATAAACTTCCATGAAATAGATCCTGACGGCGCATCTTTTCGCGCACCATCTGCGATTATAATCTCGGCATTCTTTTCGATTTTTTCGACTTCACCCCCGTTTGACTGTCGCAATCATTAGCATGTTTCTTTCTCTTCCATTTTAAAGACACTCTTACTCGAATTATCTCAACCCATCTTGAGCGCATAGGAACTCGCTGAATAATAAAGAATTTCATTCCTTCAAAAAGGAATCCTCCACCCCCAACACCATCATATACAATAGAAGCCATGGCTTTGGCCTTTGCGACTGGAGAGGGATTGTCGGTCGCAAGTCGTTTGAGGGGAGTAAATATAATCGGAAGGAAAAATGTGTTAAAGGAAACGTTTGAAAGAAGCGAGTGCCCTCAAAACATGCATTGATTTATCTGTTTGTCATTGATTGGCTCCATACAAGTAAATTCTGGTGTATAAAGGATTGTTTCTTGTCGCAAATTATGTGATGTTTAACCTTTGACGCGCTCAGAAAGCCAACACTCCGCGCGCGATCAGCTGATTAACCTTACCCCTACAAATAAGATCGGGCTTGGCAAAGATTACGTACCGAAGCAAAGGCTAACAACTTTGAAACTCTTGATGCTCACGTAAACTGTAATATCATGAATTTCTTGTAGACTGTGTTGATTAATTTGCTTCTCTTCCTTTACACTCATTTTTTAGAACATAGAAGACAATTAATTTTACTCAAAAATGGGTACTGTTCGGAATATTGCAATAGCTGTTCTAACTCTATCTTTCTTCACATTCGTTGCTTTCTTCGGCAGGCTTCCAGCACTGAGGTATCACCGCTGTTCAATATCCTCATGTTTCACACACTCACAACTTGATAGGAATACACCAATAGGTATTTTACATCGAGTATTATGGGTACACATTCCTCGTGGTTTCAGAGCTGCAGATGAGAGGTTAACCAATGGTCGTCTCAGTGCTTCGGTGGGAAGACTGGCTCATACATTATGGAATGATCGTCATCCTGTTGTTATGGTAAGATTGGTTTTCTTTTAACTCGAGAGAGAGCATGAAGTCAAGTGACTTGTGTATCATTCATCGAGAAGCGTATACCTCCAAGTGATATGGGTCGAATATTTCCAACCTACAACGAAGGGTTGGCAATACATGACTTTCTTGTAGTTCGTGGTACGC